GACCCTACCCGGCGCCCGGGGGACAAACTTTTCGATTTGCACCCCCCCTTAAACTTTCAATTTGCACCCCCCTCAACCTTTCAATTTATTTTTCCAACCCATTTTGGCGCCCCCTAAGCTCGGCGCCCGGGGACATATGTCCCCCCGCCCCCCCCCCCCCCTCCCCCCCTCGCTACGCTACTGCTGGTCTGTGTCTATATTCATGCGGATGATAGCAAAGAAGAACTGGTCTTTTGTGAAGATAGCAAGGAGAAAATAAATACCGTTTTTGAAACTGGATGATTAAAATGGGTTAGAACGGCTATGGGGGTTTGTACGGATGGTGCGCCATCTATGTTTAGCTCAAAATCGGGCTTTATGAAAACAGAAAAGATTTAGCTCCCTAACCACTGCCCTTACCAATCGACATCAAGAGTCCATAGTATAAGTAAATTATATAAAATCTTGAGCCTTCAAAGAAATGAGCAAAAACATCAATATAAATCACGAGTTTCTGCTCTTCTACACTACGGTACGCTGGCTGTCAAACGAAATGTTGTAAATTGTGTTTTTGAATTGAAATCTGAAATCAAATTGTTCTTGGAAGTGCAAAGGAAACAAGACATTTTGATATACTTAAAACGACATAGAGTGGTTGGAGAGAGTATCATGCCAAGCAGATGTGTTCGAACATCAAGATAAGCTTAACCTGAAGCTTCAGGGAAAATGAATGAATATTATAACTTTCCATGATAAACTCGGGCATTTTTATCAAAGCTGCAAAATCGGCGAAGAAAATAAATCTTGGAAATATTGTAAATTGGAGAAACTCTGCGGTGTGGTAGATGAATCTGTGAGATAATTAAAAGTTTGAAAGAAGCGATTTCTGGGCATCTTGAATCTCTTGAAAACGAACTGCATCGCTATTTCTCTGAGCTGAAAAAAGAAGAATCTGCATTGACACATTACCCATTCTCTTCTTCCCTTGATGTTGCCAGCATTCCCGATGAATTACAAGATGAATTATTTGATTTGCAGAATGATTCCGAGTAAGATGAAAAACTGCAGACACAATTTTGGTGTAGTATTCACCATTCATACCCAAACGTAAAATTGATTGACTTTTCGAGAATATATTTTCAACACTATTCTTCGATTAAAAACAAAATTAAGAAAAGTATAATGACATAGGTTGGCGTTAACAAAAACTTTTTAAAATTTAAAACTTAACCACGAAGGTTTAGTGAATAGTATGCAATTTTACTCATGCTATTAAAATAGTTATCGAGAGTAGTTCATATTGAAAGTCTACTAGAAAATCTTATTTTAGTGCTTATTAATTTCCATACTAATTTAGGCTTTTTAATTCTATGGGGGTCGCGGGTCACTTACTTTTTATAAAAGGGGGTCGCCACTCGACAAAGGTTGGGAACCACTGCTTTACACTATTAAAAGTATATATTTTCTATATAAATTTCATTTCGTTCGGTGGGGGGGGGGGGGGTCGGGTAGACTTTTTCCCACCTTCGATGATATGCCTGGAAGAAACTCTGTTATTGACCCGGATTTACTAATAAATTCAGAAGTTGTTAGCGCTTATTTCGGCAAAAACAACCAAGCTAGCAAACGGGTAACAGTGACTATGCAAATTACAATGCAATGGAAAGAACCCAATTAATATTTTGATAAATCGACATATTCTGGTTATATACCCTTAACGAAATATAATTGGGTGGTCGTCATGCTTAAGTCTCACCTCCTTGCTCCATCAACTTCCCTCTCCAACCATCGTCATAAAAATAGCATCTTTTCTATGATGATCGCTGTGTGTTGCAGAAGCTCTCAAGTATTATGCTATCACCATTTGTTTTTTTCACGATCTTGCCAACGTATCAGACCTATCCACACAGCTGATGGACCCTAGGGACAGGACGTTACCTGTACAGCTTGGAATCAGCATTGCGGCTAAAGCTTCCGAAAGGAAACCACGGTTAGTAATCCTATCGCCTATAGGGCTAGTAAGTAGGTCACCAACCTGCTCTATGGCTCAGTTTTTATTGAGCCGTAGAACTGGCTGGTGACCCACTTACCAGCCCTATAGGCAGAGTTTCTTCCAGGCATCTCTTCGGGGGGGGGGGGGGGGGGGGGGGGGGGGGGGGGGGAGGGGGGGGGGGGGGCGAACACCCCCCCCACCCCCCGAAATTTTTTACCGCCCCCCCCCCCCCCCAAATGAAATGAAATATGAAATTTATATATAATTTATATAGAAAATATATACTTTAAACATTGTCCGCCCCCCGAAGAAAGTTTACCGCCCACCCGAAAATTTCAAGTGCCCCCCCCCCGGAGAAAAAAGTCTGGAAGAAACACTGCCTATAGGGCGCCACTCCTGTCTGAGTTGCTATCTCCAGCTTATCTTATCTTATCTGCCTGGGGGTTCGATCTCGGGACTTCAGGGTCTAATAACAGACAGTGTAAAAAACATCAGAAACTAGCGTCGATTACAACTGCAAGGGTCAGGCGTGTCTTGGAGGGGGGGGGGGGCGAAAGGGGTAGAAAAAAATTAAAAAGCTCATTTTGAGCTGCATTACTAAATTATACACAGTCGAAGTTATTGAAAAAATAGACCACGACTCGGTTTTAGGGGCTTATTTAACTATTTTATACATCAAATGTCTGACATTAAAATAAAAGCCGTTAAGGAAAGTGGCTGGTTAAAAGCACCCCCGACCTTCCCTAGCAGGTGGGCGATGAGACGTTTTTTTGCCAATGTGAATAATTATACACATGAGAGGCGGCGCAAAGTTGAAAGTTCGCCCCAGGCGCCGGAATGGATCGCTAAGCTTCTGTCGTATGTTGACACATACCTCACTGCAGATACAGTTTTTATTTATTCCGGTTTAAGGAAATGTTTCATAACTATCTGTTATATGAACGGTTAAGAGTCACTATTTAGTATTATAATGTTTTGTAGTGCTGAGTCCCTTAACAAAATCCGTAAAATGATACGAGTATGCCTTGCTTTCCCTTGTATGTTATTGTTGTGTAGGCTACAACATCATCATTTAGTGTTACATAATAAAATATGAAAATAGATTCCAGGTTCCACTAGACGTGTTATATTTGATTGTCAGTAATAATAATTTGAAATTTTCAACTGCGATTTACTTGTGACATTAAAAAAAAATATTTAAAAGCGAAATAAACTGGAAATGTAGCTAAATCTGGCCTATGCATTCTGATTGGTTAATATCAAATTTAAAGGGCCTACCTAGGCCTAAAGGAAACCGAAGTAAATTTGTAAACACAAGCTTTTCTAGTCTATGCTATTGAAGTTGTAAGTAAAGTTAAAAATAATTAGAATTTAAGTCTAGATTTCTAGATCTAGATCTTGTTTAATTACGTTTAACTTACAAAGAAAATAGATCTAGACTCTATCTACCCTATTTTAAAAAAAAAAGATTAATTTTATAATTTACGTGTGTCAGTCAGTGAGACAGAGAGAAAGAGAGTTCAGAACTTCAGAGCTAGATCTAGATTTAGATCTAGAGTCTAGATCTATGAGTATGACACTATGACTGGTTATGAGAGAGGCTACGACTGGCTATGAGAGAGGCGAAACGCACACATTAATTACATTAATTAGATCTAATTATTAATCCATTATTAAATTACTTTAAATTAGTCTAATTATATTAGGGTTTGGTAATCTATCGTTTTGGGTACGTAAAATCGCCCGCGACTAGTAATGTGAAAAACAGGTGACTCCTTAAATTTTAATAATTATTTCACATTTTGAGGAGGATTTATGTTTTAAAAAATACAAAAATGTTTCTTTGTTTCATTTATGTACCTGTTTTTAAACAATTGAATTAAAACTTTTCAGTAATAAATGAAGACTAGCGATGTTTCCAACAGATGCAACCATGCTCATTTACTATAGCAGCCATCTTGTTTAAGTTTTTTTCTATAGCGGATATAGCGCGAGACAGGGGGAAGCCACTCTATTTTACAAATGGCTGCTGTTTATATAGCAAATCTTGCTCGCAAACACTGCTGTTTAAAGTTAATTTCTGGCATATATTGATATATTTAGCCATTGATTTAGGTTTATTATTCATTTATCTATAATATTTGACACAAATATATCACAATATACTTCTACTAAAGCCTTGACAATGAGGTAACTTTTTCGTACATTAATAACCGCGGGCGATTTTACGTACCCAAAACGATAGATTACCTAGGGTTTTAATAATTATAATAATTTGATGACTCTTCCAAAATGTGTTAGGCCTATTTCATATTTGAATTTGTTAGCATCCCTATTGAAATGATTGTCGTAGGCCTAGGCCTATCAATAGTATCATTCAAATTTACTAATTTATTTAGTGTTGCAGTCAGAAGTTACTTGTTAGGCCTAGGGTTACTGTAAAACTAAGACCTTACTCAGGGTGATGGTAAATTGTGAGACGCAAAATGCCTTTCTGTCGGTCAGGCCACATAACACGCATGCATAGTGCTGTGTCGTGCCTTAACCAAAATAAACGTACGAAAACCACTCATGCATGACCGAAATCGTCAAACGGGTGTCTTCACGTGGTTTGACATGTGTTGACATGGGCCTTTGTTTACATCGAAACATAGCTCAAAACGGCCCTTTTTTAAATTAATTCTTCAAAAAATGGCTGTTCATTTTTAAAAAGGGTCATTTTCTGGCCCATTTTAAAAAACGTAAAAAAATCCGAACTACATGTAGAAAAAAGTCTTTTTCTGCCCTTTTTAGCTCCAAAAACGATGTGTTTACGGGTCGCATGACGTCAGACGCCAACCAAAACGCGTTGAAAGCACATGTTTGATTGGTTGGCGGCGGATACTATGAAATCTCAAGGGTTTTCTCTAAATTTTTACCCAGAATTCAAAGACATTTCAATTGTAGTGTTATAACTTCTGATTTTTAATAAAAGAGCATACAAAAACTCATAACACAGGCCTTTCTACCTAATTATTTAGAGTACTAAATTGAAGTCTTCATCTTTATCCTCAAATTCATGCATTTATTTTTACAATGTAGATCTATATACTCTGTATATACTCTATGGTCTATGGCAAATTGGTCAGTAGCCGTATACAAAGTGAATGCATTTTAATATAAATTTAAAAGTGTTTTGCTAAGTATAATTTTAATATCTGCAGATATTGTCACAATGGGGAATGTGCTGGATACTTTTGCTGAGATGAACCAGGCAGATGGTCCAGTTGAACCAAAGCCACTGCAACACAAACGTCTGCTGGCTCTGGACCCTAGGTCACCATCTGCATGTATAGACAGAACACCAATCATTGTGGAGAGGACCCCGGCAGGAGAGAAGCCCGCACTTGTCAGTTCACAGGAGGACACGCCTCGTACTTCGCGAGTTTCTCCGTCTGATGTTGTATTGGATCCACGGTCTCCTACAAATGATTTTACTCGAACACCTATCAACCCATGTATTGCTACAGGTGAGTATAAGATAAGGGATTATCTATATCTGTTATCGTTAGTACAGAATTTTTTGTTTGTTCTGCTTGTGATACTGCAATGGTTAAGATCTGGGCAAAAAAAAGTCAATACTGCAGTACTGCAATAAACAGGGAATATAAAATTACCCATACTTTTGGTGAATAGTTCCAGCTGTCTGCAATATTTTTCATAGCAAGTTAAGCAAGTTGTCTGTCACATTTAATTTATCATCTCTTCCTGTTTGTGCCTAATATTCAAGGGCAGATGAAGTAGACTTGGCTGTATCAGGGACCTTGGCATACAAGAGCATAGTGTGTTCAACACTATGCCCTGCCAACTTTGTTTCCCTAACCTGAGTCAGGTACCCATTTGAGCTGGTGGCCTCAGGGACATCCTACACACTTGGGTCAGCAGTAGTAAGCTTGCCATCTGACCACGCCATCCCTTTGATTATGTTCTTTAATCTCCTGCTAGATTTCTTCCCACTCTTTGCTTAGAGAAATTGACTCACTGTCTGGAAAGCTATGGCTGACTGCTAGTATCAAGTTTTAGAAATTAGTTTGTAATTGTAACTGATTTTTATATTAATTGATCTCATTAGCTGTAGCCAGGAGAATCTCGCCTGCAATGATGGCCTCAGGTGGGTTACATCAGTCACCTTCGTTGAGTCATGAGTCAGAATCTGGGATTGAGTCAGCAGATGTCACCCCTGTCTTGAAGAGGCGAAAAGCTAAAGGTAATTTTATTTTTATATTTTAGTTAGCTGTCACAGATGGTCCTCAGGTGAATTGTCAAAAGTTTTAGGGAACTATCAGATTTTGTTTCCTGGTTTGTAGGATACTCCTTGTTATTTGGTTTATTATAGTTACTAATTATTAGCTAATACTAGTTATTTTTTAACTAACTTAAAATTTATATTAAAATAATTGTTTCTGACAGACATGCCTACCGTCCCGCCAAATTGGAACCGTCCCGCTTTTTCTCCAAAAAAAGTAATTTGTTCAGTCATTCCGATTTTGACTCATTTTGTTCTGATTTTTAAAAAAAAATTAATAAAGAAAGGTTAATAAAGTGAATTGAAAAATAGGGAGGGAAAAGCAACTATCTCCCTTTGGCTTCTGTTTCCTAGTTTACTTACTATTTTTTCAAGTATCATCTAATACTAGATCTAGATCTTGCCAGACTAGATCTACATCTGCTAGAGTCTAATAGGTAATATGGACAATCTAGTTACTGAACGTTCTTTTTAGTATTTGCAATAAAATTGTAGGTTTGATTTTTGCCTTAAATAACATGTAGGGAGAAAAATACAATAAAATCATGACTAATTTCTAGATATAGATCTAGATAGTTTAGTAGATCTAGATCTAGTAGATTCTGAAATAGTGAATTACTGATCTAGATTCTAGATCTATCTTGTAAGTTGTAACTTAACTAGTAACTACTAATATGAACTTAGTAAGAAGTAGCTAGGACTTTTACTAGGTAGATCAAGGGTCTTAGCTCTTAACTTATTACATATGATGAATTAATTATTTTAATTTTTTACTTAGTAAAGTAGCATCTGGGCGTATGTTCCTCTTTTTGGCTACAAATTCCTCTTTTTAGGCATGACTGTTCCTACTTTTGGCTGACAGGGGTAGGCATGTCTGTCTATGGGCAATTTAAATTACTCACCCCTAAAAAGAACCTATTCAGTTGTCTTATCCATAAAGTCCTAACCATTTGTCAAAGCTCAAGAATCAGATAAACTTCACTCAACCTAGCCAATAATTTCTCTCTCAGTAGTTTTTGCTTTGTTTGCAAAATAGTTCTATTCTTTATTTGTATACAGCTTTAATTATTAATTCAAACCTTATACTTTTTATCATTCTGTTGAACCCTTGGCTCATGACCCTAAAATCCCTACTTCCCCGTGCTGCTTAGCTGAAAGTACACACAAGAGACTTTATTAAAAAAAAAAGTATGAATATAATGTAACAACTATGTTTATTTTATTATTTTAATGAACATTTGTGCATTAATTATCACTAATACTTCTGCTTTAGTGTGGTAGTCCTTCCAGTTGGTACACCCTTATTCAGACATATATAGAAAGCTGATTGTTTAAATTATCCAATTGTCTTTTTATCTTAAATTGCAAATGATAAACAGAACACAATAAAATTAGTGACAGGAAATTACGAGTCAAACAGTAACTAGTTACATTCATTTCTAATCTCTCATTTTTATGTAAGGGCTATCAGTCTGGGGTAAGATGCTTCTGACTGATTTGTCGGTCTGTCAAATCGCAGTGATTTAATACTTGGTATGAAAAAGCATTACTGCTGGATCTAAGTGTTAATGTATGTGGTATGTATGCAGCACAAATATTTTTTAATTATTCTTTTAGATGAAGCAGAGCAGGCAGAGAGCCCAGATTCGGCATTAAGTTTTGACTCTCTGGATCATTTCCATTGTAAACTCATGGAGCAACATTTTCCTGAGCAGGTAGGTACACACATTGCTGCCTCGTCATATTTGTTGTCCACTACATTTTCCTGTTGTATTTTTTTTATCTGTTCATTGACACCACATCTCAACATCCATTGGCATGCATCAAGTTAACTCCAATATTGTTCTGCCTCTAGTTACCACATCTGACTAGTGACCTTAGCCGAATTATTTGCCTCTCTTATTCTATCTTGCCCTGTGGTATCTGAGAATGATCCAAGCCAAAGCATGTTATCTGCATTGTTAGCACCTGACTCATCTCCATATTCTGTTCCAGATAACTCCCATTAATGGTTGGGTCGTATGAGTATTCTTTTTAACTCTACATTTGAGGTGGCAGCTAATCTAACATTAAATCCATTCACATGAGATTGTTAAATTTAAATGAGTAAGTAAGGTCTATATGGCAAGTGAAGTAGAGTTCACTTGTTTCTGTGACCTCGGCATATGAAGAGATAGTGTGGTCAGCACTATGTCCAGCCGCCTTTACTTTACCTAACGTGAGTTAGGTACCCATCAGAGTTGGGTGGACTAAGGGACGGTCGGTCTACTGACTTGAACCTGGATTCAAACTCAAGACTTATGGGTTAGCAGTCCATCTCTCTACTGCTAGACCACTCCGTCCCCTCAAATTTAAACGAACATTGGTTAAAGCTAGTATAAAAATGTGTTGTTCTGCATTTCTTAGAATGACTTGAATTCAGAAGAAAGTGTGTCACCCAATCTGAATACTGAACCACAACCTGAGGAAAAGAATTCTGCCGCTTCCTTTGCAGGTATTTTTCAAGTTTCTAATTAATATGAAATTGAGAACTTTTGGGACTAATATTTATTACTAGTTTGATGAGTTGGGTTCAACCATTATTGTTAACATGTATATTAAAAAACATGCATGTAAATTTATAAAGTACTAATAATATTCCGCACTAATATGAATATTTTGTTTTGGCGTTAGCTTGGTGCGCAATTCTTTTTTCTACGAGATTCTAATCTATTTTTAAAAGTTTAAGTAATTAAAAATCATGTCTATATTCCGAGTTGCCATCCCACGTAGTGTCATATAAGAATATTTATTAGAAATTGTGTTTAGTTACCAAAAATACTAAAGCTTTCAATCTTAAGTACACTTTGTCAAAAGCTAAACTGTCAGTTTTTTTATAATCCTGTTTATTTTAATAACATCACTTCAAATTTTAAAAAAATACTTAATACACTATTTAGAGGATATTCACTGTGGCTCCAATAGTTATTTTTTATCACAATTTTTTAAAATGAATAATGTATTGGTATGTAGTTACCAGAGGTTGGATTGCTACAAATTGTTAAATCATTTTTGAATCTTTATAATGATTTTAATTTTCAGTGAGAGTAAAGAATACTGAAAATCTAAACAAAGACCACGTTATCAGATACCCAAGTCAGATCACCAGGAAGACAGAAGCCTTGACCCTCACACCAGGGGTCGTAAGGTCACCACTGTCACTGGTTGAAAACTCTAGGAGAACTATGTCCCACAGAAACAACATCATGTCAGGAGGGGGCAAGCAGCTGATGAAATACTCAGGGATTGTGGACAAGGAGAATGTCTTCCACTGATTGGGTGGTCAGTAGTAGAGTTTGTGGTATCATGAAATACTTTTTAATGTATTGCCTGTTTGGGGTCTCACCATTGTATATAAGAATGTGTATGTTATGGTTTTATAAAGTTGACATGAACAGGGGTGCCACTTTTCCGGGATATCCCAGATTTCCTGGTTCAAAAACCTTATTTTTTTTTCACTTTCCGGATTCACAAAATTTGAGTTTTAAAATTTCCGGGTTCGCAGTTAAAAAAAAAACAAGACTGTTTTGAAAATCGTTATTATCAGTGTCCAGAGCATTTTTACCATTGATGGCCCTTTTTGTCATTCTTTTTACAAAGTTGATAAGGCCTCTAAAAGACTGTGTAGTGAGCATAATATGAGCTAAAAGTCTCAAAAGAGTAATTAAATAAATTTCCAATTTTATTGTTTTGAAATCAGTGTGACATTATGATTAAAGGTTTTACACATTTCAGATTTTGGGATTGGTAAAATTAGATTGATTTTCAGGATTTGCTTAAAAAAAAGTGGCACCCTTGCATGAATCATAGTTTACCAATGGTGGGCTGCATAATAATTTGGGAAATTTGAGCTTGTCTGTAGATTAGAAGTGTATGACAGACTGATTATTTGAGAATGTTAACATTTGGCAGAGAATGACAGTGTTCAAGAATATGATCTTTTAACTGAGTATATATCTGCGGATTGTACATAACGACCCAGTTAATTAAAGCTGTGCTACTTACATGTTAAAATAATTCTTTATGTGGTGTGTATGATAGTAGATTTTGATCATCACAGAATGTTGAGTAACTTTGTTTTTTGAATGCCTGTTCACCTCCGTGCCTCACTTTGATCTTGCCTTAAATCTGGTAGTAACATTTTTTTCATCTTGTTTCTACACAAATGTATATGTGATGTTTTTGTTTATTCTTCAAGACCAGTAACAAATTGTAATGATTATGTTTTTACGTGTTTGATTAACAATGGACTCAGGGAAATGTCAATCAGCACTCTTGCACTCAAGTGACTTCCTATTGAAGAATGTGTTATTTGTCACGTGCAGTACCAGATATGTTTATCTCAGACAGTTTTTACAGAACTTGGAACAATCTTGAACTTTGAACAAATTAAATGGATTACATTTTCTAAGGTGCTGACAATGAATGAGAAATATATAATTTTTTTTGTTTTCTTTTTAAAAACTGTTATTTGCTGTTATAAAGAGCAATTGATCAAACATTTGATTAGTTATAAGTGCAGGTTCACATACATTTTTCAGTTTTATGTTGCTGTAGTTACCTTGGGGTGTGCAACTGACAAATGAAACTGATCAGGTACCATTGCGTAAATACTACTAGGGTTGCTTTTACCTAACTGCATTAAAATTTGAAGTTAATCAGCCTTATGGTGTTATATTGCTGAACCTGTAATTTAAATGTTTTGTATGAGGCAGTTTTGTGCTATTTAATTCTAAACATTACATTTGATTAAATTGATATTGTACAATAAAAAAAATTATCAAAGAAACATTTTTGCATTTTAATTTATTAATATAAAAATATATCTTTTAAAAAGATTTTTACATCATAGTAGTCAAACAAAACTTTATAAAATTTTATTGGGAAAAAGATCAACGTGTATTTGATGGAATGCTTAAACAATGTAGGACATTGGTCTATCGATTCATGAGGATTTGGACTGATAGAAGCATTTGTAAACCTCAATACAATCTTACCTAGGTTTTCTGTTAGCCCACATTTTAGGATACTGTTGAGTGTAAAAATTGTTACATTAATTTTTATATCAAACAAATCCACAACTGCCATCAAATAAATTACATAGAAACTCCAGTTTCATGTATCAACAAGTTTACAGTTAACAAAAAACCAGACAGTCACTACATGTGGTGGATGTGTTGTACATTAATTGTTGTTGTACATCGCTAATTCAGAAAAAAAGTGTAACAGGAATATATTTTAATTTGTTTTGGATCAAGATGAGTAGTTTAAAATAAATATATATATAAATTATAAATATACACCAGCTGACTTCATGGCTCAATGTGTCTTGGGCACAAAAGGGAAAAGCTGATGAACTGTAAAACAACTTAAAATCCGCTTTTTTAAAATCCAATTTATAAAACAATTAGTTCCTACATCATATTTTCATTTTAGCAGCTTTAAATTTAACTATATTTTCTGACTTCCTCCACCTTGTGGCAACTCCAAGGGTTCTTTCATTCATTTCTGGTAGAGCTCAATAGCCTGGTTTGTTTACAGCAGACATCCTGTTACTCCAGTCATCACATCCTGTTACTCCAGTCATCACATCCTGTTACTCCAGTCATCGCATCCTGTTACTCCAGTCATCGCATCCTGTTACTCCAGTCATCACATGTTACTCCAGTCATCACATCCTGTTACTTCAGTCAACACATCCTGTTACTCCAGTCATCACATCCTGTTACTCCAGTCATCACATCCTGTTACTCCAGTCATCACATCCTGTTACTCCAGTCATCCTGTTACTCCAGTCATCACATCCCGTTACTCCAGTCATCACATCCTGTTACTCCAGTCATCACATCCTGTTACTCCAGTCATCACATCCTATTACTCCAGTCACCACATCCTGTACTCCAGTCACCACATCCTGTTACTCCAGTCATCACATCCTGTTACTCCAGTCATCACATCCTGTTACTCCAGTCATCACATGTTACTCCAGTCATCACATCCTGTTACTCTAGTCTTCACATCCTGTTACTCCAGTCATCACATCCCGTTACTCCAGTCATCACATCCTGTTACTCCAGTCATCACTGCTCTACTACACTCTCCATCCATGTTATGATGTCTACCCTTGGCATTGAAATATCACTTTCTGTTTACATGGCTATTTCATCCATGTTATGTACTCTATTGTAATGTTGGGTCAGCTGTGTGTGGGCAATGTACTTCAATTGGGGTAGGGTGGGGTGGAAGCCTGCACATGTATCCCAACCATCTGCATGCTCAAATACACTGCTACCTGGTCTATATAATCCATCATACATATCACACACAGAAATACATTTTATGTATTACATTTTAAATATTATAACACTAGTTGAAAATACAGCAGGATATATTATTGTTTACAAGAAAATTTAGATGGTTGATTAGTGTAAACATATTAAGGCAGCTCTGATTGCTTTAAATTTAACTTTATAGCCATTTAAAAAAAAAAAAGTTTTAAATTTAATAATAGTTACACTTCTAGTAAACTTTCACATCTCCAGTAAGGAAGCTTCTTGCCTAGATATCCATACAAGATATGATAAAACATTATCTAGAATCTATCATTAATGTCAAAATGTTTATGAGTTTGATATGAAAACTTAATATTTTTTAGGCATGATTATATGAGTTATGCCCCTTCCAATGTTCAGCACTTTTTCAACCATTTCTGATACAAAACAAAATTGGATGTTTCTTTGTGTGGGTAAATGTTCTTTTGATTAAGATTTTATGTAATCAACAAAATCTTACTTTATTTACAACTTCAAAAATATGGATGTACATTAAATGAGTCCTTCCTATAAAAAAAATTTATAAATCAAATTGTGTTCCAAAAATTTTAAAATAATTACCATGATTTTTTTGGCATGATGAAGTAAAAAATCACAATCTTTTGTATTATATCTACGATTATTTATTACACATAATTAATGATGTTTACTTTAAATTCTGTGATTATTTTATTGAAAAAGTCCAATGCAGCAGTATTCAACCAAATTTGGCATTGTATTTCGACTGGCTGATTTCAACTATTAAATGATGCTTACGGTAAACAATACTACTATAAATTTGTATAAAAATAATTTTATATTTACAAATATGAATGAATTGATATGTTATTAATCTGTTATTAAAATAAATGTTGAAAAAAATTAAGGCGAGAAAAAAAAAATTACAAATTTTCCTCCATCTTTCTCTTCTTTTCATCACTACTTTTAGCATGGTTTGAATGTTCTTTAGATTTATGGAACAGCTTCAATAGTTCTATTGCCTCGTTGGCTTCAAGCCTTTCGTCTAAACTGCGCTGGCAGGCATCCTGAAGTGTTTGGGTTGTGGTTTCTTTCTCTCCCAGCAAACATGCAAGCTTAGTGGTATCACAGTCTACTAGAACCTGACGACATAGGTTAACACATGATAGGTGAGAGTTGGAGAATTTTGTGTTGAGCTCTTTTTACAGCACAGTGGGATGACATGGTCAAGTGGTAGAGCATACAACCACTAACATGGAGGTCTCGTAGTATCTAGAATTACGTCCAATGGATATTCCATCAAGCTTTGATGGGTTCCTTATTCTATTCAGTTAAACAAAGGGCTGACCACACAGAATACCTCTATTTCAAGTACATCATGTACAATTAAGTTCACTTGTAATTATGCCTCGCCAAGTAAACAATGTCAATGAAGACAGACTGGTCGGAACATAGAGCTTACAAATGCTAACCTGAAAGTGTCTGAAGTTCACACTTCAGGTTTGAGTTTGTAAGACGGTCACAGAGTCCACCCAGATCTAATGGGTAACTGACTCAAGTTAGGGGAACTAAGGTGGATGCTGACCACATAACCTCCCCTTGCTCTATGCTCATGTTACTGACAGATGGACTCTACTTCATCTGACCCATGTGTCTTGGGCAATAACAGGAAAAGTTGATGATGAACATTATCAGCAAACAGGGCTAAAGTTGAAAGAATACCTGTAACTGCTGGTTAGATAACATGATAATGTGTGAGAGATTGTTTTTGATAAGCTGGGACACTTGTTCAACATCATCAGCCTCCCCATCTGTCACGTCCTGTTCAATCACAACTGGAATAAAAAAAAAAAGCTGAGTTCCATGTTTACAGTTAGTGTCTTAAGCAAAAAAAAAAAACTTTCTTTGTTCTACAAAACACCATAAAAATCTTTTCAATCCTCAAATTTCAGGCTATTGATCATTGTTTTTTTGTTTCATGTGGGGAATGGGAATAAAAAAATTCATACCTATCATACCAATTCTTATGTATTACTTATAATAATACATCTGCCCTACAACTTTATTAAGGTTAAAATAATACACCAATGTTTGTTGATGGCCTTTACAAACCTAAAATAGTTTAACAATGTGATTACAAATAAAATGTAAATGTGGGGTTTGTTAATAAAAGGTGGCGTGCAGTGCATTAAAATATTAATTACTTTGTTTATCACATGGCCGCCATTTTTCCCCATCTACAAGAAACATCAAAACAGTATTGGGTTGTAAAAAAGCAAAGTAATCTTCCTCGTCAACTTCTGTTCCATCTTGCTCTAGAACGACTTTCAGCTTTGATGATTCTAAACCCAATTTCTGGCAGCCTGCAATACAAGATATTGTCTTCAGAAAAATTTCAAACAAAATAAATAAAACTATTTTATTATATAGTTGCTGAAGAGAAATAGTGGATAATACTAGGTTCTTACAACACAGATTTCTAAGATTTGTTCATCTACTTTAAGGTTTCAGACAAGGTAGGCATTAGGATTAACACTTGATTTAGGATCAGGATAGCAAAATTATGCTCTTATAAAATTTAATATGCATTCTGTTAATTTTTGGTAATTATTTAATGTATTGAAATGAAAGTGAAAGCAGTTTTGTTTAAAAACGGAATAAAATGTTGTAGAGTAAGTAAAAAGATTTGACAAATCTTGGTGGTCTTTTTTAATGTTTAAAAATTATTTGAGTTTTGATTGCAAAGTATTGTAAATGTAGTAGATTCATCTTATTCCTTGCATTATAGTACTGTGTAAGTTGTCAGTAATTTAAAGCTACATCAACAACTCATATAAGATGAGAAATCCATCTATTAGCAACACTGTGAAATATATTACCTCTAGAAATCAGTTCATTCAAAGTAGCAGCAGTGATGGACTTTCTTGTCTCTCTGTCAGAGCTCCAGATCTTGAAGGGTTTATTATTTCCTGAGGCATCATTCCGTGCATCATCCATTTTTTGTGTATGCAAATAGCAACAACTAGTTTTAGATCTACTGGTATCTAATCTAAGACTAATCTTTACTTTTACTGTTGCTCTCAATGTATTGTGATGTTTTTCATTTTAGATTTCAAAGTTCTGAAAAAGAGATGTTTAAAAATTAATTATAAACTAAATAGACATAGGACTATAGTCCATAGTGCCTAGGCCTATTAATCTTTATTATTATTTAAATTATAAAATAGGCTAACAACTCAATTTTAAACTTAGGTCTGTACATTAAAATTTAAAGGTAAAAAAAAAAAAACTTCAGCAAGGCAACGGCAAGTGGCAAGGTGTATAGGCCTAATATTGTTTTTTTTTTCAATTTTAGCTTGACTGGCTAGGCCAGGGGTCTCCAAACTATGGCCCGCTAGGATTCAAAGGCAGTTAGACTGTTTCAAGCATTTGAAGCAAATGCAACCAGTTGCCTAGATGAAATGGAGGTCATTGAATTGCAAGAAAATGACTTCCTTAGAGACAAGTTCAAAGAAAATTGCTGGTGGAATTTGTGTTTGCCCAAGTAGAACAAACTTGGACCTCGAGTGTGTTGTCACCCCTGACAGTATTTTTTCAGTCTTTTTCTCCTGGGGTGGGGCATTTAAAATGAAATGTGTAGGCCTATATACTATACTATATACTATATTATTATTATATATTTCTATCAGTAGAGTAGGGCCTACAAAATTCTAGTTCTAGACTAGATTCTAGACCTCTAACTCTAGTACAAAACAAACAAAAAAATTCTTTGGCGAGAGACTCACTTTACTTTAAATTACTTTTACTAAGTTTTACTTTACTGTCTTTACACTTTAGTTTTAGTAGACTCTATAATTTTTTACTAGGCTATTATTACTAGATCTAGATCTATTTATTTAACTATTTAGTAGTATTAGTAGGCCTATTTAAATACTAAATAGTAAATAGGCTATTAATAGTATTATTAGCCTATTACTTTTTGTCAATTTTTTTTGTCATTTCTGTTATGTTTAAAGTATTAAAGTTTAAAGTTTTATTTCAAATTTAAAATTAAATTAGATCTACTAGATCTAGAACTAGATTCTAGATCTAGATCTATCGAAGTTTTTTTCTCAGTATTTGAAACTTAAGCAATTAGATCTAGATTTCTAGATCTAGAATCTATATCTAGATTAAATTTGTTAAATATTATAAGTAGATCTAGAATCTAGATCTCTAGGTAATCAAGCTTTAGTAATCGAGTGGCTTAGGCCTAGTTAGAACTTTGAGGCTTGAGGAAATAGCATATTATTCAGTTGTGAATAATGAACATTTTTATTTTTCGGCAAAAAGAGCTGTAGATCTATTTTAAGCTGTGGCGGATGGAACAACTGGGTGTTCAATATATTACAATATTATCTAGATTTAAATGTATAATCTACCAAACGATCCGGTTTTTTTTTACAGAAAGAACTTTGATCATGAGACAGTACCTAATTATTCTATCACATTATCTAATCATTAAGTTGCTTCATAAGATTTTCACATTTTCCTTTTTCATAAAGATGAATTATTTAAAAGGAAAATGCGAAAATATGAAAATTTAGTGAAGAAACTTGAGGTCAAAGGTATGTTGTGCGCGCGTAATGTGAAATTCTGAATAGCCTAATTTTTTTTTTTGTAACTGAAGTGGTTTACTGCTTGTTATTTCTTTTTCTGTGTCTGCTTTTCCTTTAAAGAAGCACATTTATATTTATATCACATAACAATGGAAGATGATGGTAAGAAATTAAAAAAAACCCCATAGATCCAGTCTTGAGTCTAGCTAGATTTAGCTAGATTTCTAGATCTAGATTCTAGATCTAGAATTCTAGATCACTAGATCTAGATCTAGATCTAGATCTAGATCTTTACTAGACTCTAGACTAGATCTAGATCTAGATCTAGATTCTAGTACTACTCTAGTTCTAGTCTAGACTACTCTAACTCTAGATCTAGAGTACTCTAGAATCTAGTAGATCTAGGTAGTCTAAGCTTCTAGATCTAGATCTAGATCCTAGATTTATTTTAGTAAAATTAAAATTAAAAGTAAAATTAGTAGGCCTAGCCTATTTAATTTATTTGTAGAGTTAGCAGATAGCTGTTAACTGTAGGGCCTACAGTGTAGGCTAAGTAGCCTAAGTCAGTAAGTGTCACCCCCCCCCCTCTCAAAAAATGTGTGCACTTTCAGTTTGTTGTCACCCCTCTCCCCTATTTTTAAATTTTATTCAATTAACAGCTAGATTCTAGATCTAGATCTAGGATAAAAATAAAACTATTTTGATTTTGTGTCACCCCCTAAATATGTGTACTGGTGTCACTCTGGAGACCGCCCATCCCCTGCTGCAGAGCGTAAGTGTAGGTGTAGATCTAGATATAGATTTCTAGATCTAGATCTAGAATCTAGACTAGATTCTAGATCTAATCTAGATCTAGATCTAGTTACTACACTAGTTATGATCTGTACAGAATCTACAGTAGTAAAAGACTCAGCCCAGTGTTCAGTGAGTCTTTGGGCTTATTATTATTTCAAATTATTTTTACATTTTTAGGCCTTATCTAATTTCAAATTTGGTTAGTAATTAGATCTAGATCTAGATTCTAGATCTATACACTATACAGCAGTAAAAAGTAGGCTATACAGCACTGTTAGAGACTAGATCTAGAATAGATCTAGATCTAGATCTCTCATCTGCCACTTTACATCCTTTCATGGTCTCCTAAAATATGAGGATAAATATGACCTGAAAAGCGAAATCCGTATGTTTATACTTAGGCCTATTTTTCTTATTTCAATGTATTGAAAGCTTCTAATTGAATTATTTAATTAAAAATCAAATCAGTCATACAAAACAGATAATTTCAGAAATATAGAAAATTTAGACCTATCAATGTCATTAATATATGAGTCCATTATTGTGAGCACGACTTTTTTGATGCAGTATGAATATGTTATTGTATTTTACTATTTAGCAGTGGCGTAGCCAGGATCGTCTCAAGGGGGGGGTTCCAATTTTTACCCGGGGACAAACTTTCGATTTGCACCCCCCCCCCTCAAACTTTCGATTTGCACCCCCCCCCTCAAACTTTCGATTTGCACCCCCCCCCCCTCAAACTTTCGATTTGCACCCCCCCCCCCCTCAAACTTTCGATTTGCACCCCCCCTCATACTTTTTATATATACCGAGGGGTCTATGGGGGGGGGGTTATGACCCCCCCTAACCCCCCCCTGCCTACGCCACTGATTGTGCAAGTGAGTCGAAAATACATTTTGCGTTTTGTGTCAATGAACTCGATAACATGAAAAGGGCAGCAAATCTTAAGGGTGTATACTTGCACATGAAGATGGTAAAGGAATATAGATAGACATACAGTAGACTGATGCTAAAGTGGACTGATTTTGTGACAAAAATGTGCCTCGTTCTACTCTAGACGCTGAGATGTGTGCATGCGATGATTACTACAGAAAGAGATTTTTACACACATAACACCAGCGGCGTCACTAGGCCGGGTGTCACCCGGTGCGGTAACTGAGGGTGTCAACACCCTACACCAAGTTTGCAATTTCAGTTTGGTTTCAAAATACTAAGCTATTACTGTTACTGGATAAAACATAATTTTAATGGCATACTTTACAATTTTTAAATTCGGTGTCACCCCTAAAATTGGCGTCACCCGGTGCGGACCGCACCACCTACGCCGTCTTGTGATGCCACTGCATTACATTGGCCATTAGCACACAGATCTAGTTGTTTCTGTAAGTTATGTTTTTTTCCTTAGTGGGTGGAACGTGTTTAAATATCTGTATAAATCCCCGAAATATACACTCAGTTTATACTTTTTCTGCAAATTCATGGAGTCGAAATGGCATTCAAAATACCTCTTGTTAAAAAAAAAATAAAACTGTTTTTGTAATAGATATAAAAAGATTTAAAATAGTTTAGAGTGTCATAAAATATTTAATCGACATATTAATAAAGACAAAAATTGAAATGAACTTTCTTTTCAACTTTAAGCTAATTTTAATTGTAATGAGCTAGTTGCAATGTTGTTTTTAATTTTTATTTAATTTCTTATCTTCCATCTAAATCTATTAATTAAAAATATGCATACGACCTTTTTAATAACAAGCTTTTATGTAATAATGCACTAAAAATGAAATAAATAAGTGCTTTTCTTTAAATATATAATAATACACTACTATTTAAATCACCATACAGAAAAGCGTGGGTCACTAATATATTAGTAAAGGTAACCAACTGATAATAGAAAGCTGACGAAACGCTAAAAGGGAAGCTTTAAAAAGAAAGATGAATTTTAAAAGCTTGTAAAAATAGTCTCGTGCATGCGAGATCATCGGTCAAGAAATCGAGCTCGGGATAATTACTTTTCATTTTAAAACACGGCATCTATAATAATAGTTTCGCTGTCTGTCTATCTATCTATCTATCTATCTATCTATCTATCTATCTATCTGTCTGACAAGAACGCTCTAGAGAAAACACAAGGAAAATAAAAACATGCATAGTAATTCGAAAAACGAAGTATGACGTCGACACATTTAGCGCACAGAGTAGAAAATAATCTCAAGCCGGATAGTGCACACATTGATATGACGTCATTGATTATCGATATTCAATACAAAGGCAATTTGGTCTAATCTAAGTGGTTTGCGTGAAGAGTTTCTTTCATACAATTCTTCGGGTAGGGGCGAAGCCCCACCCCCGCGTAAGAACGTTTGAGCCCCCCCCCCTCCCCAACTCAAAAGAAATTTCCTCATCGATACTCTATAATAAAATTACCGCCTAATTAATGTGTCTAATCTTAAAAGTGGTTTTCTTGCAATGGGACGGTAGACATGTTGTTTTTTTTTTGGGGGGGGGGGGGGGGGGGGTGGAGGGGTGGGGGGGTGGTGTGTGTGTGGGGGGGGGGGGTGGAGGGGCGGGGCGGGGGGGGGGGTGGTGTGTGTGGGGGGGGGGGGTGGGGGGGTTGGTTTCAGTGTTTCTTTCAGACTTTTTCCTCCCCGGAGAGGGGTGGGGGTACTTGAAATTTTCGGGGGCGGGGGTAGAATTTTCTGGGAGGGGGCGGACACTGGAAAAAGTATATAATTATATTTCGTTGAATGGGACGGTAGACATGTTTTTTTTTTGGGGGGGGGGGTGTGGAGGGGTGGGGGGGGGGGGTGGTGGTGTGTGTGTGGGGGGTGGGGGTGGGTTGGTTTCAGTGTTTCTTTCAGAGTTTTTCCTCCCCGGAGAGGGGTGGGGGTAATTGAAATTTTCGGGGGCGGGGGTAGAATTTTCTGGGAGGGGGCGGACACTGGAAAAAGTATATAATTATATTTCGTTGAATTGGACGGTAGACATGTTTTTTTTTGGGGGGTGGGGGTGGAGAGGGGGGGGGGTGGAGGGGTGGGGGGGGTGGTGTGTGTGGGGGGTGGGGGTGGGGGGTGGTGTGTGGGGTGGGGGGGTGGGGGTGGTGTGTGGGGGGTGGGTTGGTTTTAGTTTAGAGAAAAGAGACTGCACTATCAACCTAGCGCCCGGTGTATCCTTCCTCAACGGGCCATTTTTCTCGTCTATAATAATAGTTTCGCTGTCTGTCTATCTATCTATCTATCTATCTATCTATCTATCTATCTATCTATCTGTCTGACAAGAACGCTCTAGAGAAAACACAAGGAAAATAAAAACATGCACAGTAATTCGAAAAACGAACTATGACGTCGACACATTTAGCGCACAGAGTAGAAAATAATCTCAAGCCGGATAGTGCACACATTGATATGACGTCATTGATTATCGATATTCAATACAAAGGCAATTTGGTCTAATCTAAGTGGTTTGCGTGAAGAGTTTCTTTCATACAATTCTTCGGGTAGGGGCGAAGCCCCACCCCCGCGTAAGAACGTCTGAGCCCCCCCCCCCTCCCCAACTCAAAAGAAATTTCCTCATCGATACTCTATAATAAAATTACCGCCTAATTAATGTGTCTAATCTTAAAAGTGGTTTTCTTGCAATGGGACGGTAGACATGTTGTTTTTTTTTTGGGGGGGGGGGGGGTGGAGGGGTGTGGGGGGGGGGGTGGTGTGTGTGTGGGGGGGGGGTGGAGGGGCGGGGGGGGGTGTGTGTGGGGGGTGGGGGGTGGGGGTGGGTTGGTTTCAGTGTTTCTTTCAGACTTTTTCCTCCCCGGAGAGGGAGCGGACACTGGAAAAAGTATATAATTATATTTCGTTGAATGGGACGGTAGACATGTTTTTTTTTGGGGGGGGGGTGTGGAGGGGTGGGGGGGGGGTGGTGGTGTGTGTGTGGGGGGTGGGGGGTGGGGGGTGGGGGTGGGTTGGTTTCAGTGTTTCTTTCAGAGTTTTTCCTCCCCGGAGAGGGGTGGGGGTAATTGAAATTTTCGGGGGCGGGGGTAGAATTTTCTGGGAGGGGGCGGACACTGGAAAAAGTATATAATTATATTTCGTTGAATTGGACGGTAGACATGTTTTTTTTTGGGGGGGTGGGGGTGGAGAGGGGGGGGGGTGGAGGGGTGGGGGGGGTGTGTGGAGGGGGTGGTGTGTGTGGGGGGTGGGGGGTGGTGTGTGGGGTGGGGGGGGTGGGGGTGGTGTGTGGGGGGTGGGTTGGTTTTAGTTTAGAGAAAAGAGACAGCACTATCAACCTAGCGCCCGGTGTATCCTTCCTCAACGGGCCATTTTTCTCGTTTTAAAATATTTCCCCAATTTTTTTGGTGTGAAAATTATCTTCTTTTCCCGTTCGTGCCCAAAGACGGTGACCGGAAGGATGCGCTAAGAAAAAGTGCGCAAGGGCATCAGTGTTTTCTAAAATCGAGCATTTTTAGACATTAACTACGTGTATATTGTAGCATAATAAAACATTTCCACCAAATATGACAAAATGTAAGTGATTTAGTATAACTAGTTTGTATTTGCGCATTGTTCCGATCGCGCTTTTTTTCAGGGATCCGCCCAAGACAAACGGGGCAGATGAAATAGAGTTCACCTGTGACCTCGGCATATGATAGAAAGTGAGGTCAGCACTTTGCTCAGCCGTTTTTGTTTTTCCAGGGACATTTTACTGACTTGAACCCGGATAGCAGCCTAGCTCTCTACCGCTAGGCCACGCCGTCCCATTTTTGTGTGAAAATATTTAACTAGAAATACCAGTGGAAAATTCAGAGTAAAAATTTGCGATTTTTGAAAACTTCGGAAATCCGCCGGAATTTGGAAGTTGCATACCTGTTATCTGAGGACTGAGTGGTCTAGTGGTAGAGAGCTGGACTGCTAACACGTAAGTTTCGAGTTCGAATCCGGGTTCAAGTCAATAGACCGTCCATGAGTCCACCCAACTCTGATGGGTACCTAACTCACGTTAGGGAAAGTAAAAGCGGCTGGGCATAGTGCTGACCACACTATCTCTCTCATATGCCGAGGTCACAGAAACTCTACTTCACTTGACTTACCTATCCCTGTTATCTAGAGCCGTCAGATCTACTTTAATCATCTAATTGAAAAGAAATGTGTCAAATGCATAATTCGGTCGTTTCCATAGAGGTCATTATCACTTTCATCCAAATTTTCCAAACTTCGCAAAAAATCTAAAATTGGTGGAACAATTCGGAGAAAATGAAGTAATCGAAGGAAAATTGAAGCTCAAACGGAAAAAAAAAATCGGATTGCCGCTAAAAATTGGTAATAACAATTTAGTATCCATAACATTTGGAAGCAAATCTTTATATTGGGATCATATATAATGTATCACTTCACGAAGTCTATAGAAGATAACCCAAGAAATGCGATTTTGTTTATTATGTTACAAATTTGGAGCACAAATAATAAAAATCCCTGATAGTAAAATGAAGCAGAACCCAGCGATGACTAGAGATGGTGCCTATCCAACAGCGATGTTGCTTGGGCCACACTGCTGTAGGCTAGACGTGACGAAGGTGTTAAAGGTCATGGTAGGGTCATCGTCATTTAGTCTAAAACTGAGTAGAATCAGAATACTCCGATTTAGATATCCCGACCTAGATCTAGATAGGGGTCATCCATTTATGACGTCCACACGCGGGGGGGGGGGGGGGGGGGGTCGGGGTCTGGAAAAAACTGACTTTAGTGGACGCATATGGACTTGTATATTTGTAAAAGGAAAAAAAGTGGATTTTTTTTTTGGGGGGGGGGGGGGGGGTCTAAAATCCAAAAAAAAAAATGTGGACGTCATAAATGGATTACCCCTTACTATAAAATTTAATATAAAAAATAGATAGATTCTAGATCTAGGATGTTGTCTTTCAGACTTCTTTTCGTATTAAAGGCTCTCCATGTTCTTCTTTTCGTTACCACCCCCCACCCCCCCCCCCCCCACCCCCCCCTCCACAGCTGGGACGAAATAGAAACAAAAATTATTTGCAAGCCTAGGCGATGGAAAATAAATAGATCTAGACGCCTAGGCCTATAATCTATATACTTTAATTTTAACCCGACATGTCAAGGAAGTATATAGATCTAGTAGATCTTAATACCCCTCCCTGTGGGAAAATGCCTGACGGAAACCCTGTCTACATCATAAATCTAGTAGTCTAGATCTATATAAAAAAAACAGGGCTGTGTATTTGTATTATTGTGAACATATAGATTCTAGATCTAGATTCTATGACTTTGCCCGTAGTTGTACGATTTTGACAACCATGTTTGTTATGATCATGATATTACTGCGATTGCGCCACAACAGTTACATTTTAACTCTACGCTTTTGTCTTTTGGAAAAACAAGTTAATTAAAAAAGTCTAGTGACATTTATGCGCAATTTCCTTATGTTATCTAAAAATAGCTCTGACGTATAATACTGGGGTGCGTTCAAGCTAGAAGAACGATCGGTTTGTAGGTGTTTATGTAATTTTAAAATTTGTGCCCGAACGAGAGGATATTTTTGAAAACTTTCTTCGGCAATATTGTTCTAAATTATGGCAGGAATCGATTGGCACATGTTTCAAGTCGCTAAGTGGTCTGGTTGCCGAGATATGGGCAAAAAACTGCATTTTTTCTCGGTTTTTTGGCTTTTCCGGGAAATACATGAAAGAAACCCGGAATTTTTATGGCCTATGCTCATCCTCGTAACTTGCTTAACATAATTGCTTTTGGAACTAGTCATCGATATTGCTTCGTTGAGGAGGAGATACGACTTAAAGCTGCGGACACACATCCATCCATCCATTCATTCATACATCCAGAAATGACGGGTTAATAAACGCAATTCTCCAGAATGGAAATTGCGCTAAAAAAATTAAGTAGATCTACCGGATTCTAGGCGTTACTTAATTTTAATACTGTAGCTTAACTTTATTTTATGTTTTTTTTTTTCTTGTGATGAAATTTCGATTGCCGTTGGTCTGAGTTTTATATTCAGCTAGATCTAGTTAAAATAATTACAAATATCAATATTCTAGACCGAGCCCTGGTACGATATTGATCAGCTGTAGGCCTAGAGGTCGTCCTAGATCTACTTGTTTACTTGCGGCTTCCGTGACAACACCTTCCCGTTCCCCTCCCTTCTTGTTCAATATCAAGACGGGCGGGAGTCGCTAGGTCTGCTATGTTTTGAACTTTAACTGACCCCGCTAATCGGCTTTGGCTATTGGATGTTATAAATATCAATCTGATTCATTAAAAAAAAAGGCTGATCGCGCATGTATTCGACAATATAAATATCTCTATTAAACTTTGTCTTGATTAGACGGACTCTTTTTAAGATAAAAATTCAGAGGTTCCAGTTTTATAGATCTAAATCTAGATTTAGATCTAGGTCTATATCTTGTGATTTATAAAAAAAAAAACAACATGAGGTAAAAAAAATTGCGTTCTCAATTTGACATTGTTTATTTTATTTTTTAGCATAGCCCTCGGGCAGAGTTTTTTCCTGGCATTTTTTTTTTGTCCGTGGGCAGGGGGAGGGGGAGGAAAACAATGGTTCAACTAGTATTTCTAGTAAGACCTATATATTTTCTATAGGCTATACATTTTCCTTTATTCTTCTTCTAGGGAGGGGCTGAGCGGAATAGATAAAGTATACTATAGGCTACTGTGATTGGCCATGGTGGGAATAGGTGAAAACTACTGACTACAGTTGACCACACCTCAGTTTTAAGAAGATTCTAATATTGTGCTATTATTGTATAAGAAATCCACCTTCATCTCTTAAAAATGTGAAACAGTTTTGAAAATCACCTCAGCAGAGGGAGGAATAAACTCTCCTCCTTTCTCTATCATTAGCTAGGTCTCAGATGCAGCTATTTATCAGTTGACAGAAAAATAATCATTATCCACACAGCTAGGCATAGATCTACATACATATTTTGTATGACTAGCCATACTCAGCATTGTTTATTTTCTTGTCTCTTTCAGAAATAATTCCTTCTCCAACCCCCTCACCCCCAAGGAAGGATGAAAAAAAGATGAGGTCTATCAAAAGCTGGAAAACAGTAAATTCAATTTTCATTTTTTGAACACAATTTTTATGCCTTATATGAATGTTTGATTACTGTACATTAGTATACAACATTTTTTACACAATTTAAAGCCAAGTTGAACAAAATAAGTAAACTTGTTTAATTTCAGGGTACTGTAAAATATGTTATGTAACTTTTGTCTAATTTTTTGCTTAGGTTCTGGTTGAAGGAAATATTGGATGTGGAAAGTCAACATTCCTAAACTATTTTAAAAAGTACAGTAATGTTACGGTAATTCCCATCCTCATTAGCCTTATTTAAATAATTAAATAGGTTACTGAATTTTTTAATCCTGATTCCTATCCCTAGATTGTTTTTATAGTATTAAGGCAAACATTATTTTCTAATGTAAAATTTATTAAAAAATTATTTTTCAAATGAGTGTTAGTGTTAGTAAAAGTATTTCAATTACAGAATTTATAACGATTTGAATCTGAAAAAAAAAGAATGATAAAGATATCTTTTTATTTTACAGGTTTTGGCCGAACCTGTTGGAAAATGGACAGATGTTATGGGTTATAATGCACTTGTAAGTATTAGTTTTTATATTATTACATTTTTAAGTAAAGTAAGTAAAGTTCCCCTTCCAAAGCTGACGGTTCATGGGGCGAGTGAAGTAGAGTTCACCTGTTTCTCTGACATCAGCCTGCGGAGGGATAGTGTGGTCCACCACTATGCCAAGCTTCTTTTACTTTTCCTAACATGAGATGGGTACCCATCAGAGCTGGGTGGACTCAGGGACGGTCTACTGACTTGAACCCAGATTTAAACTCGATACTTACTTGTTAGCAGCCTAGATCTCTACCGGTAGGCCATTCCGTCCCCGCATTTTTTAAAGTAGGTAGTTAATATACCTGTAAAATTCAATATTTAGAAGAAGAAAAATATTGTTTAAAACATGTTTTAAACCACTAACAACCTAGCATCTTACATGGTATAATAATCAGAATCATTATATTTTCCCTTTTGTGCCCAAGACACATGGGGCAGCTACAGACAACTTTTTCAGCCTTTGCCATTCTCTTTCCCCAAGCTAGCCCTGTCTAGCCCAGTTGCTTTCTAGCTGTGAGTCACCACATTTCCCTTCACCTTTTCTGTTTTCTTTTTCCTTGCGGCGTCCTGTTAAGTTCCATTCCTGTGATGTCATCTGGATTCAGAGGCGTAGCGACCCTTCCTGGCACCCGGGGACAAACTTTTTGATTTGCACCCCTCCCCCCATCAAGATTTCAATTCCCCCCCCCCCCCCTCAACCTTTGAATTTATTTTTCCAACCCATTTTGGCGCCCCCTAAGGTCGGCGCCCGGGGACATATGTCGCCCCACTCTCCCCCCCCCCCCCTCGCTACGCTACTGTCTGGATTCATTCTTGACACATGCACCATCCAGCTCCATCTTCTTTTTTTAATTATTTCACAAAAAACTTCCATTGCCATTTAACCTTGTAATCTTTATCATTGGAGATGGTGTTGGGCCAGTGGGTGCCTTTTATCCTTTGCAGACACTTAAAAAAATCCATAGTAAAATTAACATTTAAAAAATAAAAATGGGGAAATGCTGAAAAAATGTATTCATGTGTCCTCCTAAATTATGACTGTTTTTAAAAATTAAACAAGACTTTAAACTTTGAAAGTATCTTTTGTTTGAATTTTAGGAGCTAATGTATAAAGATGCCCCGCGCTGGAGCTGTGCTTTCCAGTTCCTTGTCACACTTTCAATGTTGGAACACCATAAACTACCAGAGGTCTGGTTATTTGTAATTTGCTTGTTTTAAATAAATTAACATTTAAAATTTAATACATGAACGGCTTAAATATTCCTATATTTGCAAACATTTTAATTTCTGAATTTTAACAAATAAATTTCATCTGTTTTCTTATTTATGTTGCGTATTGCCTACCTTGGAAAGCAGTAGCACCATTTGTGAATGAGTTAACTAGTTGGATGTAATTTTTAGTTATATTTTAAATTATTGAAATAATAAAATTATTTTTTTTTTCAGAAACCATACTCAGTAAAGATGATGGAGAGGTCAATCTACAGCGCGAGGCATTGTTTTATCGAAAATTTAAAACAAAAGTAGGTCTAAATTTTATATTTTATACAAAAGAAGTTTTATTACTTGAGTTTAGCTTTCTTATGCGCAAATAATACATTGTTGTTTAAAAACAAAATTTAAATATTTTTTTATATTCCTGTATGGATATCACATTTTTAAATTTACACATCAAAAGAAGTGTTTTTTTAACAGTTTAAAAAGAGTATCTTAAAATTATAATTCTAGTACAATTTCTATTATTGTCTAACTGAAAGCCATCATATTGTCCAATCTTTAGTTCGATAATGCCAGATGTTGACCACTCTATACTTACAGCCTGGCACAACTGGGTGGATGTTAATGAAGATGTCCAGGTAGATCTGATAGGTGAGTTTATGCTGAAGCCTGCTTGTATGTGTCAAAACTTGTGTTCAATTTTTTGTATAAAATATTGCTGGTTGTTTTTATTTTTTTTTCCCTATTGTTTTTATCAGAAGTAACATAATTTGATTAAACATAATCTCTAAGATTTTTTTAATGGTGTAATTAAAAACAGTTGCAGTAAAACATTTGTACCTAAATAATCTAGAACTTAGGTTTAATTTTAATTAATTCTTTGCAGTAACCCTTCATTTTTTTTAGTCAGACAATAAAAATATATAAGACTTTTTCTTGAGTTACCTACCTTACACCATACAATTTTTATAGACAATTTTTTTGTTGTTGAATGAATTACTTAAATTTGTACTGATATTCAAACTTAAAAATTCATAATTGCTTTATCATTTTTTAGTGTAAAATCTATGAAAGCCCAAGATTTTACAACATGAACTTAAAAAAATATTTTTTTTAGACAATCCCCCTTATAGTATGCTATGCCTAACATATTAATTAGAAATTAAATCTACTCTTTAAAAAACTAGTTTAAATAAGATCATTATCCTTAAAGATGGCCTGGCATAGTACTGAGGATGCTATTCCTTCATATCTTGTGGTTAAATTTTTTAAAATCTCCTCTTCCTCTGCCACATGAATTATTGGTTCTGAAACGTGTATTTTATTTTGTTCAATATTATTGTTCTTCTTCTTAATCCCATTCGTGCCCAAGATGCATTGGGCAGATGAAGTAGAGATCATCTGATTCATAGATCTGGGTATATGAAGGGATAGTGTGGTCAACACTATGCCCAGCCGTCTTTTTTTCCTTAACGTAATTTAGGTACCCATCAGAGCTGAGTGAACGTTCCACTGATTTTGAACCCGGATTTGAACTCGAGACTCTCGGGTTAGCAATCTAGCACTCTACCGCTAGGCCACACCATCAGTATTATTTTTATGTTTTATTAATATCTGACGTTTCTGGACATATTGTAACAGGTGTCGTCATTTTGTGCTCTAATGTAAAGTAATAGACACTTCATCAACTATAAAGTTCACCAAGTCACATTCCTCTCTGTCCTACACACCAACTAGCTTATGCTACGTTTGAGTTGACAGTTAACATTTTTTTACAGTTTACTTGAGAGCAACACCAGAGGTTTGTGCTAACAGAATCAAAACGCGAAACAGGTCGGAAGAATCAGGAGTCCCCATCGTAAGTAAATAACTACTTAAATGTTACATATAAAATATTTTAGTAAAATTTATATTTGACACAATGATGAACAAAATCATTCCATTCTTAGTAATATCTGTAACACATATCAAATGAGTTGTTGATATACTATTAAATATCTTTTACTGTCACACAGTTGTTTTTTATTTACTGCTGTCTATCTTAGTCTACTGCCAGTTTACTTTAATGGAGCTCTTCTCTTCCAGGAGTATTTAAAGGCTCTCCATGTTCTTCATGATGATTGGCTCCTGCATAACAAGCGAGGAAAACTCCCAGCCCCAGTTCTGGTCAGTTTGTGTTTATAAGTTGTGGTCAGTTTGTGTTTACAAGTTGTGGTCAGTTTGTGTTTACATTCTGTGGTCAGTTTGTGTTTACATTTATAAGTTGTGGTCAGTTTGTGTTTACAAGTTGTGGTCAGTTTACATTTATAAGTTGTGGTCAGTTTGTGTTAAGTTGTGGTCAGTTTGTGTCTACATTCTGTGGTCAGTTTGTGTTTACATTTATAAGTTGTGGTCATTTTGTATTTACAAGTTGTAGTCAGTTTGTATTTACAAGTTGTGGTCAGTTTGTGTTTACACTTACAAATTGTGTTTGCTACTCTTTAGTCTTACCCATGGTAGTTAGACTTTGTTGCACATCTTTAGATTTCCTCTTTAATACACAATTAAGTTCCCCTTTAAGATCTAACAATAGATGAAGTGGAGTTCAAATGTTACTTGACCTCGGCATATAAAAGGAAGCTGTGGTCAACACTATGACTAACCACAGTTTACTTTTCCCCAACATGGGTGAGGTACCCATTAGAGCTGTATGGACTCTGGTACATCTTTCAGTCATTAATCTGAACCGTGATCCAAACTCAAGACTTTAGGCTAGCAACTGAGTGCCCTACCATTCTTTGTCCACACTGTCCCTTATAATACAATTAGGCTCATAAAAATTAAATTTTATTTTAAGGTGATAAATGCTGATAAAGGTTTGGAAGATCTTCAGCAAGAAATTGAAGGGTTGAGTCAGGATATTCTTTTAGATTTGTTACCATATAGAGACAATCAAGAAGAAGAATGCAGGTAGCGCACGCTGATGTTAGCTATAGTTTAACTCTTACCACTCATTGAAATCCAGTTGTGAAATTTCTTAATACTGAAATACAGTAGCTGAATTATCAAATTAGATTAAAGAGACACTTTGTTGAATGACATGAAGTATTGTACACGTTGGTGACTTTGTTGATCTAATGATACCCTGCACTAAAATATCAGATTTTTTCTTATATTTATTTAATCATTTTAATTTTAAGGCAATATTTTAATTTTTATCGTTTTAAAGTGCCAAGTTTTAAACATGAAAATTTTCAATTTTAGTTTTTTAAAGTAGGTTTATAATTAAAGTTTTGTTACTGTATATTCTATAGACCTACATTTAAAAGAATAATTTTAATCTTCACAAAATAATTTTTAATATTTTACAAAAAAGGTGCAAAGTTTTAAAAATTAATTTTAACTTTGTTTAAATAATATTTTTAAATAGTTACAACATTTTAACAAGTCATAGAAAAGACTAAATGAAAATCATATTTCTTTTTAATGAACCGCCTTAGCTGTTACCTAGATATACACCAGATTTTGGTCAACATAATGTACCAAATTAATAATTAACGGTTGGATTTGAAATTTTTTTAGAAACTATTTGATCATCCATAGGCACTGAAATCCTTTTTTAATATACATAATGTTCTCATATTTTAATTTATGATGTTTTTACACACAATAAAATGTTACAACCACATGTGGTGGGTTGAACATTAAAACCACATTGGGTTGGCTTTTGACAACCATGTAGCTGTTGAAAACTATTGTCTGACTCAACTTGTGTATATTTTTATGTTATTTCTCAATAGCTGTAACTTATTATTTTTGTTGTCATCATAATTAATGTTACTTTTCTTGACTTTTCACATACATTGTTTGTTTTTGGTATATCATACAATTAAACCCATTATTTATTTCAAATTTTTGGAAGTTGCTTATATTTAATTGTTTTGGTGTTATTTGTATGTGTTTTGTCTTTTTATTTTTTACTATGAGTTTTTATTCTGATAAGGCTGTGAGTAGTTAGCATCCTGTGTGTTAAGGATTGCTTCACTTAGCTTATGTTAGACATATATATATGTGTATATATATGTATGTATATATATGTATGTATATATATGTATGTATGTATATATGTATGTATGTATATATGTATGTATATATATGTATGTATATATGTATGTATATATATGTATGTATGTATGTATATATGTATGTGTATATATATATATATATTATATATATATATGTATGTATATATGTATGTATATATGTAGGTATATATGTATATATATACATGTATATATATATGTATATATATATATGTATGTATATATTATGTATGTATGTATTTATGTATATGTCCACTCAGCTCCGATCGGCACCTAACTCACGTTAGGAAAACAAAGGCGGCTGGGCATAGTGCTGACCACATTATCTCGTTTTATGCCGAGGTCATTGTAACAGCTGAACTACTTGATCTGCCCCATGTGTCTATAGAACAAACGGGAAAAGATGATCTGATACAATGCTATAATCTTGTTCCCATCACTGGAAATAATTACCAAGACACCTCATCCCACAAAAATCCGGCTGGCATCGATATATTTGGTTGTCTATATATCAACAAACTAGAAAGCAATTTGGGACGAGTCTAATGGTACATTCGCATACCGCCAGAGTTGCAGATAGTTTTGTTTAAATAACGGGTAGCCCACTCATACTATTGGCTTTAAGGCCAAAGCTATTTCAACTCAACACTAGTTTATCAATTCCATTGGCCATGCCACCTTTAACCTATGACATGCTTAAGTGAGTTGTACATGTAATCATAAACACTGAACTTCAAAAGAACAGAAAAAAAAACCGAATCAAAACATTTCAAATTTGTTCAAAATTCCCCTGTAAGTTTATTATAATTCTCGTACATACATATTTTTCCAATATTGAAGATTCTAAAAAATATCTGTATAATTCCCCAATTATCTTTTATCATTCCCCTCCTCCCTCAAAAAACAAAGCAAAAATTGTACAATTGGTTATAATCTAGACAGCAACACTCAGGTACGACTGAATATCATGAGAAGCAAAACATATCATCCGAGACGAAATGTGGTGACGTCATCACTTCTTGAGTACACTCAGCAATTTGTTTCTCACTTCTGAAGATCGGGCATTCTGATTGGACAAAAATAAATAAATATAAACAATGTTGTCAAATTATCATATTCAAATACTAGCTGCGTTTCAGACATTTTTCACCATGATGGAGGGGGTACGTGAAACATACAGGGGTAGGCGGATTTAAAGGAGGGGAAGGCACTGGTTGAAAAATAATTTTCTAGCGTCCCCCACCCCTATGGGGAATTTTAAGTCCGCCCCCCCCCCCCCCCATAAGTTTTCAAGTGCACCCCCCCCCCCCAACAATCCACTACCTAAGTCACAGCATCGAACAGCGATCAAAGTCCTTGGCGGGGGGGGGGGGGGGGTTAAAAATGTGTGCCGAAACACTTTTGCATTGTACAAAGTAAAGCTAGATCTAGAAAGGAAAAAGGATTATTTTAGCCGTAATCTCGCGGTTTATTAAAAGACGGTTTATTAAAAATACTGGCTTTTTCTGACGATACAGAGAGGTAAAAAATAGCCAAAAAAAGCGCGGCCAGAGTTTCTTCCAGACATCTCTGGGGGAATGGGGGGGGGGGACTTCTCCAAAGAAATTCCACCCCCTCCCTCCCCGAACTAAATGGATTTTATATAGAAAACATACACATTTACCTGTGTCCCAAAAAAAAATTAAGTGCCCCCCCCCGGAGAAAATGTCTGGAAGAAACACGCGGCGGGGCGTCGTTTATGACAGTCACTGCGCTTTCTTGATGATGTGCAAAGATATCAAAAAAACAACAACACAACAAACGATAACAAAAAAACAAATTCTTACTTTATCGGTGACTTACAGAATCCTGACTGAGGGGGCATGTAGGGACACACATGGAGTAGTAAACACCATCGGGTTTAGCGTCGATTATCTCCCTCAAACCTTCGCAGCATTCGGCGCGGGGCGGGCACACGGACTGCAACTCTTCCCTCCCGTCCTGTCCGACGAAGAACTCGTTCTTCAGGCCGATGCCGCAGCAGTTGCTGATGTCATCGACGGTCTCAGACTTGAAGTGGGAGCGGCCCATTCTTGGGAAGGCTAGATATCCCTGGTTGTTTAAAAAGTTGGATCAATTATAATATAGTAAACATTCGTAAAAATGTAACACTATCATACGAAACAAAAATAATATTTTTTTAATTATTAAGTTTACTGGTTTAATTAAACTAGCAAATATCTGTTTTAAAAGTGATTTTTTTTTCTAATTTTAAGTCTAGTTTGAATTCAATTTTCCTTATTTTTAAAAAAAAATTGTTTTGGCAAAGAACTAGATCTATTTATTTGGCATATGCCTGGCTTTTTAAAAAACGCTTTTACTAATCATGCAATACATTACAGTACCTTTTCCGTTATGGGGTACCACATAGGGAATTTATCACTCATAAATATTGTGACGGTAATAGACACTTACCTGTGTGATTGATTAGGGTTATGGTTACCATCTAGCTAAGGTAAAAACTTAATGAGTCGTGTTAGTATAATGATAGAAGTAAGGCACTCTATACTTGGCTAATATAGTGACTAGCTGGCACCTCATAACGGAAAAGTAGCAAAAGGCTACTGGCTTGTATGATGCTAACCCTAAAATTGTCACCTCTATGAACACAATGCACTAATTTCTAGTCTACGAAACAATATTTTTAGCGAAATTATTTAGAAAATAAAAAACAATAATCGTCTAGCTAAAAACCAGTTGTGTTAATCCTATATAGGTTAATAATTTTAGTCTTTTAAAATTTAACGAGGTAAAAAAAGTAGTAATACTGTTTTATTAGAATATATTTCTTGAGTAATTAAACAGTTTTAGTAATTGTAATTAGCCTAGGTTAAAAATGTTATTTACAACACAAAATTTGTTAGTATCCCAAAGGAAGCAGGCCAACAATCGTATTTTGTTAAATATAAACTGTTAGTTCAACATATGAAGCCTAGTTTGTGAATAATGCGTCAACACTCAACACAGTGTAATTAACTAATTAGTTTACTGTAAATACCATAACTATCTTGTTAAAATTGACGTCAGGAGCATATATTAACACATATGTTAGATAATTAAGGACCCATTTTGTTAGTACAGTGAAAATTAATCATTTCTAATGTTAGTTTGCAACACAGGTCTGAAAAACAACGAAGTTTAGTTAGAGAGTATGTGCGAAACTACAGTAGAAGGTTGTGCAAGATACGCTAATTCTATTCACTACCATAATACCATTCTCTTTCTGCCCCATACACAAATCATACATAACATACACGCACTTATAACGATACACGTGTATGTATTACTGTTAAAAAAAAACTCTTTTTAAAAAAATGTCATTAATATATAGATATATCAATTTAAAAATAACATATTTTTATAACATAACTTGTTATATGATTGTAATGATTCAGTCATCGTATTTAAATAATTGATTATTAATGATTGTTTAAAATTACGCATGCGCAAAGAAGATATCTGAAATAAACATGACATATTTCTACAGCCTAAAATGCGCCTATAAATAGTGTTTAAAATTCTGGAATATTCGAATATTTCTAAATCGATTGAACATGAGAGGGGGTGGGCGGTTCGACGCCCACATTTTGCTATTTTTTTCCCCCGAATAATAAACAAAGCGAAAAATACACACAAATTTAACATTGAAAAAAAAAACGACTGCCGTTTTAGAATGTTTACTGTAACTCTCGGCAGCCAGAACAGACGAGCAGACGACTCTACAGGACGTGACGTAGATCGATCATGCACAAATCTACCGCTCAACAAACACGTGGGGGGAAGAAATAAATGTAAACACTCAACAGAATGTAAACAAACAAGGTAACAAAGTGGCAGCTCTTGCCCTTTTTCTCGGAAGTATAAATCCTTGGGGGAGCCCCCTCTTTCGGGGAACAATGAAATTCCAGGGGAGCTGCGGTTTCTTCTGCACCTCCTGCAAGGGCGACAACTGTGGCATGATCACAGGGGCAATAAAAAAAACAAGAAAAAAAAATTCAAGCAGGTTTCTGCTTTTGCGGGATGAGCTCTCAACACACAGACAAAGAGCATCGAATCCCGCATTTCAGACTACACAAACAGTAATTACATACAATAAATAAAAATTATAAAAATATCTTATTTAATGTAACCGTTTTTTTTTATTAATCTAAAACACCTGTAAAAAAAATATGTAGCTGAGATTTTTAAAAAAAATGAGGCCTTGTCGTATTACAGAAATAACCGCACGAACTAAAATAATTTTGTTGTATGCCGTAAGATAGCTAGGGGTATTTAATGAATTGCTCTTTTTTTTATTTTTTTTTCAAGTGAATGGTATGTTGGAATACCTAATTTAATAAAGAAGACGGTTTATATAATTTAAAGAATGTGAACATAATATTTCATAACGCCTAGAATATTTGGAAGTATAAATAATTTTTAAGGCTGGATCTCAAAGATGTAAATCTAGCTGTCTTGAACTGTTTTCGTGTACGTGTGTGTGTGTGTATGTGTTGTAAATGATCCGCTATCAACACATTTGTTTAGGACTATTTCTTTGGCGGAAGAATACACGAATACAGTTGGTCTCTCACCGATCTTCCCATTCTTGGAAGTGCCAAGTAGGTCTGGAATACAAGAAGAGAAGTGTTAGGGAACAACTTTTAGGTGTGTGTGTAGGGGGGGGGGGTGGGATTAAAAAGGAACAAGTTTAATTGAAACTAGTCCTAAGGGAACAATTTTTGAAGAAAAAAAGTTTCAATTGAAAAAGTTCCAATGAAAATTATTTTACTGAACTTTCCAAAAAGCAAAATTTTCAGAGATTTTTTTTTTTATGATACAAGTTTCAATAAAATAAATTTGTGATATGTTTTTATGGAAACAAAAAAAAAAAACATAAATAAACAAACAAATCTAACAAGTTCTTAAGTGACACGTTTTTGTGGTAATAAAGCCAAGGAAACAGGTCCTGTTACAATAGAGTACCATAGACAAATTTCAAGGAATTAGAAGAAAGAAACACTTGGATTTGGAGAAAGCTTTGCTTTAAGTTTTACGTTACACATTTAACAAAATATGGATTAGAAGAGTGCCTTGCTTTAAGCAATGAAAAAAAATGTCATTTGTTGCCCAAGTAGATGCAAGCATAGGCGTCGCAATGCTGGGGCTAAGGTGCGGACCGCACCGGGTGACACCATTCAGGGGGGTGACACCAAGAGGTGCCGCACCGGGTGACACCCGACCTAGCAACATCACTGGGTGCAAGTACGGCAACATTTTGTTAATGTTCATAAACAAAAATTAATTTAAATTATAAAGGAAATCAAATACAATGTTTGGTTTAGTAGAATTGGCCCAGACCAACCAAGGAAGACATGGAAACGTAACCTGAAAGAAGACACCAAGAAGATTGGATACACCTGGGGACAGTTGGAGAGACTAGCCCAGGAAAGATACGTTTGGAAAACTTTTTTCAGCGGCCTATGTCCCAGGAGGGGCGACAGGAAAACCGAACCTAACCTAAAACTGTCCCAAATAGGAGCCAATACAACACTATGTGATATAATTAAACAAAAAATAAAATTAGCTTCACTGAACTCCATCCCAAATTTTACTTTCAAAACAAAAACAATAGACTAAATATTCACGAGGAGATTAAATAAATAGATATGAATGTCAGTTAATGAAATAGCTGCATTGATGAATGATTTTAATTAATGAATACACATACACGTGGACAAAAATTTAATTAGAACTCACCGCTCTCCTGGCAACGTTCTCACTACCCTGAAAATAAAAAAATAAAAAAAGGATTGATAAAATGCTTTATACAAGGATAGTAGGCATTATAAAATTACGGAAGTTAGAGAAGGTATTCAGCTCTAGCTGAGCTCTAGCATTATGACAGAATGGTTAAATTTATCACAGTATTATCGTTGAAAAGCATCACTATCATTATCGCTTCATTGTTGCAATACTAGGCATAAAACGTTTCAATATCATTAGTAATATCAGTTTACATCAGGAGATCCTAAATTATGGGTAAGATGATTATTTTTTTTATACGGGCCTATGCTTCATTTTCTAAATTAGTGGTTACAGGATTATGCTGATTATTGTGGATTGTAAAATGTATGTATCTATAGAACTGGTTGGTAGGTCACCAACCAGTTCTATAGCTCATGAGGGTTTTATTGAGCCGATAAAACTGGTTGGTGACCTACTTACCAGCCTTTTAGGTAGATAAAATACAGGACCCTTCACTCTCTCATCAATAACGTCAATTTAAAAAAAATAATTGAAATACAATTTTTTTTTTTTACTAATATATATATATATATATTTTATACCTTCACCAAATCAAAACATTGTCTATCTTCATAAAGCCTAAGCTTAAGATGGTATTAGCCAAGTTTGCCAATTGTGTATCTTAATCTGTAACCCTTAAATATATGATGTGCATCATCAGAAGTGTCGAAAATTTTTTTACACCACATCACACGAGACGAAAAAACCTGGCATGTATGTAATGACAGCTGTCCTATCTTACCCCCCCCCCCCCCCCGCCTCGTCACACCCCCTCACCCACGTCAGCATATCACAAAGTTCAGATTCTTCTATAGTTCGTTTCATTTAATATAGGCCTATTTTTATCTCCAGTTCCATTCACAGCGAGCTCCCTATTGAGATAAATCTGCCAGATAATGAAACAATATTGCGTTGGACGCCAGAATAATCACAAATACAAAACAAAAATCCATATTCCTGACGTAACTTGTCTGTAAAACGCCAAGAAAATAGCAGCTGGTATTTTTTCACTTATAAAGGGAGGTGACGCAATTAATAACATTTATTACGTTGGAGTACAGGCCCCCTGACTTGTCAATCTACAAATTGGATGGATAATTTTTCCCCCGGCGGCGGTTTAACCGTTTTATGGCGCTCACAAAAGGCCGATAGAATCGCGAGCCGACCGAAGATGCTGGCCGATACAGATGACACGCGCCATTTGTTTCACTGCGCAGGTCAATCCGGGGATTAGGTTTCATGGCGGAGGGTTTGTCCAGAGTTTGGGCGGGGCGCGGGATAAAAAAATACGTGACTAGACGAACCGTCTGTTCGATGTTTTTCTTCACGTCGTGACTCTCTGACGTCGTTTAGACGCAGTTATTTTTGGGGGCTGGAAAACTATGGAGGAAATAGAACGTTGTACTTATAAAAACACAGAGAAAACGTATTCGATGCTATTTTGATATCTATGGTATCGATATCCAAAGTCTAACTATGGGTATAATATAGGAACTAGGCTTAATATAGATTTGAATAGTTATACTATAAATATAAAAATAGCATAACACTTGCTATTATGTTTATAATTCCAAAATCTAGTTATGATCCTTACTCTAACCCTATCACTGGCCCTTGCCGTTTCACTGGCTTTAGACCTGATGCCGGCGCCAGGATATTTAGCGCCCTAGGCAAAACTTATAAAAACGCCCCCTTCGCACAAATTAATTACTAAAACATCTGTATAAGAAAACAGTTAATTAAAAGTGTCATATTAATCTATTATCAATTGCATACACGTTATAAGTAGACATCAAAATCAAATTTTACTTGCCTCCTTCGTCTCATAAGTGTTTACTAATTCCTTCAATTCCAGTTTTGCAAGCGTAATCAAATTTTATTGAAATTGTTGCTAAGTCCACGAGTCTACTTTGTACTTTACGACATAGCCCCTAACCCATCCCCTTAGTGAATTTCAAGTGCTTCCCCCCTCCCCAAAAAAGTCTGGAAAAAAAACACTGAAAAAAAAAGTTCTTGAAGTGTTAAGCTCACTGCAGTTCTCCCAAGGCGAGTTCCAAAACGGAAGTAACCTGTTTTAAGCTTGACTGTCTTTAGTTATAATTGTAAAATGTATATGTTGTGTTATTATGTAACGATTGTTTTGTTTTTGAAAAATAAAAGGTTATAAATGTTATAGATTCCAGAATAAAATTGTTATATATGAATCCTTTAGGAGAGGGTGAAAAATATGAAAATACAACAATTAATTAGATGTTTAATTTACGACTAAGACTGTATGTCTACTAACATTAAGTATTGCAATCTACGACGGCTCTGATGTATTGTTTTTCAACTTAATAATGTTAAAAACACCTACCAAATTATTTGTTTAGAACTTAAGCTCTATATAATTTTTTCAATAGCAAATAAAACTTAAAGTTGTATTTATATGTAAGCGGTCAACCTAAGTTGCAGGAATTTGAATGGAATGTTAAGTTAAGCAACGAATTATCTCCCATTCGAAAATCCAAATAAAATTTTATTCAAGGTAAATAACTTTCACAAGAATAGCTAAATTAACCAAGTGTAACAAAGACATAATTGAAAAACACAATAAAACGCTGTAAATTTCATTTCGTAATAATTATAACAAATTGTTTATATTAGCTATGTAAACCTGTGAAAACAATATATTTTACCTATTGAATACTTAACTGTAGGTTTTGTTTGAAAGTCTAAAAACGGTAGCTTTATTATAACATACTTCTATTCAATTTTGATGACACACGTTAAAATTTGCTGGTAATCCGTTGAAATCTTCGTAAAATTTTGGATCCCCTAAATAAAGTGACGTCTTTCAAAACATCAAACACGGTAAACTGTTTTAGACATTGCTAGAATTATTGATTAAATACAAAAAAAAATTGAAACAAAAAAATTGAAACAAAAATATTTAAAAGGCAAAGTGACTAGTAAAAAGCGCCCCGACCTTTCCAAATTAGTGAGGTGGGGCTGCATTTTGCGCCCCCCCCCCCTAGGGATGGCGCCCTAGGCGACCGCCTAGTTCGCCTTATAGGTAACGCCGGCCCTGGTCCTGACTTAAGTTTAACCTTAATCATGACTCTACCGACTCTAATTTAATCTTAATCCTGACCCTAACCGTTATACCGTCAATAAAAATAATTACACGGTACCACACTAGTCTAGTCGAAGACTGTGACACACCCCAAATATTATGTTTCGCTACTCAACAAGCTATTTTATAAGCAGCTTTTGATATCTTTTATCTCATTAAAATGCGAAAAAAATATGTCGGTAGATGGTAGGCTGTGAGTAGTCGAGGCGTAGCGACCCTTCCCGGCGCCCGGGGACAAACTTTCGATTTGGCGCCCACCATATATTTTTTATATTTATAATGCAAAACTGCAGGTAAAATGAGCTTTTAAATGGTTAGGTTAGTGGTGGTTAAGTTACTGCTAATGGTTAAGTTAACTGGTTAGGTTAGTGTTGGTTAAGTTACTGATAATGGTTAGGTTAAAATGAGCTTTTAACTGGTTAGGTTAGTGGTGGTTAAGTTACTGCTAATGGTTAAGTTAACTGGTTAGGTTAGTGCTGGTTAAGTTACTGATAATGGTTAGGTTAATTGTTACTTCTAGTGGCTAGTCTAAAACAAATGTTCAGTATCAGATTAAAAAAAAACAACAAGACCTTTGACCTTTTTAAAAATGTGCATGTATACAAAGTCACGTGGTATGGTCACGCGATTCAACACAGAGGTCACAACAGTAGGTCAACAAGTCTGACAAACCAACAACTAAATAATTGATTCGTATATAAAAGCGAAATGTAATCCAACTTTTTTTGGAAACCTTTGAACAAGTTAGCACAGTTTAAATAATTGATTTTTTAATTCGTCGTGGCGTTTTATATGAAACGTATCAACTTACAAAATAAAAAAAATAAAAACATAATTCAGGAAACATGATTAGACCTACCTTATGAAATATTTTTTTTACAAAAGTCTTAGGAATACAACTATCAGAATCGAAACAAGCTACGACTAAAATAACAATAAAAAATATATATAATCCAATCTATACAAAACAGACACTTATTTTAAAATACTTTTAACGTGTTTGCGAAAATATACTGAGGAGTGTTTGTACGTGGAGGGGAAGGGGGGGGGGGGGGTAACAAAACTGACAAGTTATTCAGAAGCAATGCAAGTATCGGTACATCTCCCGGTGTTAATGAGGGGGGGGGGGGCTGTTGTTTGGCATCAGGGTATTATTGATCACTGTGGTAATTTCCAATAGAACATTAAACGTGGGGACAAAGGGATAAAACAGAATGGTGGATGGTGCGTTAGATTAAAAGATTTGCACAGCCTACGGTAACGATTGAGGGAGGGGGGGGGGCGAACCCTCGCCTCTAGCGATTGGGAGGTAATGGGTTAATTCATTAACTGTGAGGTTAATTCGTTGAATGTGAGACTATTGTTCGAGCTACTTTTTAGTACATGTTGCAATGTGATTATTTTGTAATTGTTTTTAAATGTGTTCTTTATTTTTTTAAATTGAACTTTTTTTTTTGCACTAGCTCTAGTGATACCACAAAGCAATCGGACCACCAACTGAAAACATCATTTAGAGACCAAAAATTTAAAGACAAACAAACTAACACATCATCTAAATACCAACAACACTACACAACACCAAAAGCCCACCAATTGAGCAGATCGAATTTCTTCCTCTTCAGCATTCTTAATTTTAGTGTTTAAAGATACTCCCTTCAACACAGTTAAGTATTACGTGTCAACTTGTTCTACACCATATAGGCGGCTGACTCCTTCAGCCTGCTTTTCTTTTTGGATTAGCATCCATAGCCTTTGTCCAACCAAGAACAAAATGCAAGGCTGCAGTTATTTAATTTTGGAGTTGTCTCTCCTAGAAGAGTGGCTGTCCCCTGCTGTCGAGCCTCATCTGTCCGAGGGTTCGAACTCGAGACTTTTAGGTTTAGCAGCCTTGAGCTTTACCGACCCTTAACAGACCAAGTTAAGACTTTCCTAAATGACAAGCAATAAGGACAGACCATCTTAAGACTAAATAGCCACCATTTAAACAGACAATCTTAAGACTTCACTAACAGTGTTTCTTCCAGACTTTTTTCTCCGGGGTGGGGGGGGGGGGGGGGGGGTGGCACTTGAAATTTTCGGGGGGGGGGGGAGGGGGCGGTAGACTTTCTTCTGTGGGGGGGGGGGGGGGACGGACACTGTTAAAAGTATAAATTGTCTATATAAATTATATAAATTTCATTTCGTTGGGGGGGGGGGGCTTCGCCTCCCCCGAAGAGATGCCTGGAAGAAACTCTGTTCACTAAACGACCAGCAATTAATTACACCAAGGCAGAATACCATCTAGTGAATTTTATTCAAGCCTAAAGGGCAAGGTAGGGGATGGGGAAAACCCGTTTTGTAATACCTCCGTGCAATCACTGCCGCTAACACCACTACTTGTATTGAAGAATGTTGAACTCACCTCACACCACATCAACCTTTTCAACACCCTGACATTTCATCCAAACACCCCCACGGCAACCGACCTCACCCCCACACCAACTAATAGCAGCATCAAGTCTAAATACCGTACCAAGTGCTTTAATGCGTGTCATTCGAGCCGGCTGTTACGCGTGACTGAACAGGGAGTGACCCACCCACTCAAGCGCTGGGTCGGCACTCTGGAATCCCGGCCGCGGGGGGATGGGGTACTTAGCAAGATGGCGATCGAACATCTCGTGACGTAATGACGTCTGCCAGCCGGCCATTATAACGCTTCAAAGTTTTCCACGGTTGGTGAGTTTAGGAGAGCCTGGACATTAGGTTAAGAGTTACATCTCGTTTAGGCTTAATTTTTTTTGTTTGAGCAAAACGAGGACCAATTAACTTTGTACGCTTAAGGTAATCTAAATTTCCTTCAGCCCAGCCCCCCCCCCCCCCCACCGCCGTCTTTCTCTCTATCTAAGAACAACATGCCTTTTGAAAATATATATGCTTGTAGTTTTAAATGTCCTCACGAATCCCCCTCACCCCATTCGCTATAGAAATGGTGGTTTATACCTCAGGCGCACCAACCGAAAACACCGATTTTAAAACAGCAACCGAAAATAATAGCCGCACAAAATTAAAAGTAAAATCAACTTAAAGTTTTGCTAGTTGTCGTTAAAATTAAAATAAACTTGATTTCCGAAGTTTGATTGTCATTAAAATTAAAATAAAGGCTTAGTTTTTTTTTCAAATTAATTAACAAGTTAGTTTTTCCCTTTGTTATTGTTACAAAATAATTACAGCGGATTTGAAAAATTAATTAATTTAAAGCGAACTTTAATACACGTTGACTTGAGGAAAGCTTTTTTTAAATTATTTGTTTTGGAACACAAGTCACCTTAGTTAGCCAAAGTTTTCTTTTGGTCTTAGAATCATCAGTTTTTTAGGCCGTGAAAGGGATGGGGGTGTGGGTGTAAGGGGGGTAGCAACCACACGTGACATAGTGACATCATCAATATAAACAGGGGGGGGGGGGGAGGGGCAAGACACTGAAGTTCAGATGATGTGTAAAATTATCAATCCGACTTAAATTTGGTGCTTGGTTGTCAAATGGTTGTGATACACAAATTTTACGTGTAGTTTCACCTTAAGGGTGGGGGATCTAAAATGTTTAACCTGTATTTAAACAGAGTAAACAGACGTAAAAAAAACACGACGACAATACAACTGTTTGCATTGACTGTTAATTAATATTTACAAAAAAAAATCAGTGATTTATCTTCTGCCACTTCTACATAAAATAATCATTAAAAGTTATTGATATTTAAAACTAATTCATTTTTTTTAAAAAAGAGATAATAAAAAATAGTAGAATCGCTAAGATTATGATAGTAGTGTTTAATAAAATTTTAATAACTGAAAAAAAAATTGTTTACTTCTTAGGAATAAAAGCCATCCACAGTTAACATAAGTAAAACATATAACAGGTTTAGTATACTAGATCTATATATTTATTTATTAGTTTTAAAACAAATAGAAAAACAGCAGACACGACTGAAAGGGAAATAAACAAGGATGAAATCAGGGGAAACAACTCTAACAATCTGACCTGATCTCCCGTGACGCTGTAGACGATGACTATCAACAGAGCCAGTGACATAGACACCTTGGACAGCGAAATTTCCATTTTCTTTGGCTGGCTTTAAATTTGATTTTCTTCAAGGGGGTTAACTCTTTAAATTTTCTGTCCTCTGATTACGTCCCTTATTTCAAGCTGGGCTCCTCGTTATCTTTTGATAATTCTTTCCCCGGTGCTGTAGTCTTTACGTCTCGACCTGTGGGAGACAACATCATTTAGGTTTTAATGAAATGTAGGGGAAGCAGAGTAGAGGAGTGGTGATATTTTTTACGTCATAGACGTTCGAATGACGTCAAATGTTTTATCAACGACCAAGGGACTCAGGAAATTGGTCGTTGATAAAAATTTCAGATTTTCTTTTTGTCCTTTACACTGCGGTGGTAAAGAATGAGATATACACGTGTGATACGTCACATGTCTCACTCTAAAGCATTCCCTACGTTGCACGTCATGACAATCCCCCCCCCCCCCCTCAAACCACCTAAACATGACGTCATTTAAATATAGTCTCCAATTATGAAAATAAATTGGCCTCAGTGTAGAACAAATGAGGTATGTCGAAAACAATTAGTATTACAGTAAAATACATTCTTGAAATAATATAAGAAATATATAAAACTATTCAAATACATTAATACAATACTATAAGAAATATCTAAATCTATACAAAAATTTTTAGAGAAAAAAAAATCTTTTAAAATACATCTACTGAAAAGAATTGTGATCTATTCGATATACCAACGTATCGATATAAAAATTGTATTCTGTTTAATATCGAATTCAGTCTTGTATTACCAACGATGGTTTTTTCTATATATGGCTTATGGTTTTCAAAGATCTTTCATTTTTCGCATGTAACTGTAAGACTTAGGATTGACCACATTATCTCTTAATGGACAGAAGTCACAGAAACAGGTGAATAAAATAAACAAAAAAATGAATCATAAGCACATTTTCAAAATCTAAAATTTTAGTTGTTCAAAGACAAAGAAAAAAAAGTCTGACATGATCTTTGGTTAAAAACAATTACAGGTAAACTCTACTTCAGCTGCCCTGTTGAACATACGTCATAGAGAATATCTCTACATTTCGTACATTTGCCTCTAAAAAAAGGACAGTGTGGTCGGATTGTAGACCTTGCGTCAATTAACCCGCAAGTCTCGAGTTCGAATCCCGGTTTCTAGTCTGTGGGGCTTCATGGATAAGGACGGAAAGAGATGATGTAGAAGGTTAACTATTTAATCTTCAAGCATGTTTTTGTGATCAGACATTTTAATGTTATCATGTTATTTTTTTTCTTCAGTAATATCAGTCTGAATAGATTCCTAGTCCGAACTTCCTTGAAATGTAATTATAAAAGCAGTTTTTTGTTTTAAAGAACTGCACGAATGCTAATTCTAAACGTTAATTGATTGACGTTTAAACATTCACAAATGTTGATACGGAAGTGAAATATATTTTTATCAATTACGTTTTTCCGGTAACCGTAAATATAAAAAACAAAATGAATAATGAATTACACATTAAACATTTGTTTTTGTAATTTGATATTCTAAGATTATTAGAGTAATAAAACTTGAAATTTGAGAGTTCGAATAAAATGTGCACTTTGAGCTTAAAGTTTGTATACACTGACAGACATGAATGAAGGGATTGGCGTTCTATCCGGAAATACACATTTTTATTCGCTACACACTTCCTGCTGATTTTTAAACCTGAGCTTGAATTAATTTTTAACGCAGTTTTTTTTTAACAAATGTGCTATAACGTGGTTTGTTTTGCTGTGGTAAAGTATAAAGTGTGTTCTTGGTCGTAGTTCGGAAAAATTAAACTCTAACACGACTATGCCTGATAATCGACGCTTTAACAAAGCTACACGTCTTTCCAAAAGTTAAAGTCTTGGGTGAGATCCAAGACATAGGCCTACACAGTGTAGATCAAAACGTTGGTATATCGATTAGGTCAATACGTTGGTATGTCAAATAGATCAATACGATGGTATATCGAATAGATTAATACGGTGGTATATTGAATAGATAAATACGTTGGTATATCAAATAGATTAATACGTTGGTATATTGAAGATCAATACAGTGGTATATCGAACATGTGTGTCTAAGCAGAGTTATGTTCAGTAATATAGTCAGGGCTAGGATTTAACTTGTTAATTTTAGAGTTACGATACAAGAGAATAACATGGTAACAAGAAAATACGTTATATCTACGTTTTTATTTATGTGAATATTTGTGGCAGATTGAAAGCCTATCATAGAATAGGTATTTTGCACTTAAATTTATTCATTGAACTATTTCAGTGCTATGTTGAGAAACACAAACGCAGTATCTTTGATTGGATGCGGTCTACGGTAAAGGTCAAATCCTGTCACTTTATTGTAATTTATTAACCTTTGTTAAATAATTGCCACTAATTCGTAGAAAAAAATACTAGATCTAAGTACTAAGGTGAAACATGCTTTCTGCATTAAAAGAGAGTCAACTCCAGTCAGCGAAACAGAGTTATCGCAACTTTGTACGTCAGAGTTAATCCTCTTGTTTATCAGGCGGTGCCCATCTATTTGTTTTTAAATCAGGATTAATTAGAACTCGATTTAATCAAGCACCAGAAGTTAATCACACGTGACGAAAAGTTAACCACGCGAAACAGAATAATTACATTGGTAGTTACAGCGGTTTAAAAAAAAAATTCTGCACCATTGTCATTAAATTACACGAACACTGTAATTCTAAAGCTGATAATTTAAAAATAAAATCGTTGTATTAAAATCAACGTAGTATCATTATCTTGAGTATGGTAGGTTTGGGGTCTATTTGGGCATATTTTATCGTAAGTTCTAGTCTAAAATATACGACGATGTTGAAAACTGTAATACTAAATCGAATATGACAAGGTAAACTGACACTGTCAATAACATGTTTGACGCCAAAAAAAAAAGTAAAATACTTGATGAGTTCGATTCAAGTCTTCAAAACATCAATTATTTTTGTTCTACAGAATAATTATCGACTGTATTTTGATCACGCTGGTATTCCCCCCCCCCCCTCCCCCCTCTTCCAGCCACAATGCGTTGCCTACCTAGTTTAGCCCGGTCATTAATGCCGCGGTCTCATAGCACTATAAGACAACGTATTCCTGGTTCTTTGAGAAATACACTTGATGAAGTTCATCACTAAACTTATAGTGAGTGCGTGCGTGTGTGTGAGGGGTGTGGGGGGATTTGTTTGGGAGTGGAGAATGGGAGTGTGTGAGGAGGGTTTATTGCATGACACACCCCGAAAAATTCCTGATCTCTAATTAATATTGGCACAAATTATTAAATCCTTAATGTCATAATAGCATCTCGAAATAGATGGTCTAATTAAATATTAGACCATTGAATTAATCGAGTCATGCAATAATTAATTAAATAATTGATTAGCTAATTAATTCTTTCGTTAATGAACAGTGCAGTGACCTCTCGTTCAGGTGAGGTGTTGAAGAAAGATGCTCAGGTAATGAAGAATTTAAAGGGACTACTGGAAAATGGCGTTTGCGGTCTCGGTTAAAAGTATATATTTTCTATATACATTCCATTCGGGGTGGGGGGGGGGGGGGGCTTACCGTCCTGAAGAGTGCCTGGAAGAAACTCTGCTTGTGTAAAATATTGCTAGAAATAATTTAAGTTAGTGACTGTATTTACTGACTTTACTGGTATATAGACTAATAAAATAAAAACATCTATGAAGTACACCCAATTTAAATATGACAGATAAATTAATTTCCAAATATTCCTTTACATTTTATTGTAAATCTTTTTCTTAAACCAGCCTTGCGGTACGTGAGCTGTCTTTAATTGTCGGCATTTGTCGTCTGATATTTGCCAGAATTTTTACCTCCGGTTTCTGGACCAACCGACGCACCGAAGGCTTAAATGGAATTGGTCAACATCACGTGGTCTAGCCCTATGATCTCCCAGCATGCTAAAACAAATCTCTTGTCTCGCGGAAAATGGCGTCTTACAAAATGATGTGGTATTTGTTTTTCAATTTAGTTGTGCTATAAAAAGGTGCGTGGCTTTGATTAACATTTAATTCCTAGATACGGGCGCTCAAGCATGTAGAGTTATTATTAATATTTTTTTTACAAAAAAATTGTTTAAATATCGATGATCTTTTTTTAAATAAAAAAAATTTATAAATGAGTCAGACTTATAAGACTTTGAAATTCGACTTTACAGAAAAATAAAAATAGTGAGAATAGTAAAGTCCCCCCTTCCTAACGTAATGGTCTATGGGGCAAAAGTGAGGTAGAGTTCACCTGTCTATGACCTCGGCATATGAAGCGACAGTGTGGTCAGCACTTTGCCCAACCGACTCTACTTTCACTAACGTGAGTTAAGTAAATATCAAGGACGTTCTACTGACTTGAACCCGGATTCGAACTCGAGACTTTTAGATTAGAAGTCTGGCTAACTACCTCTAGGTCACTCCGCAGCGTAGAGAATAGGGCCTACTTGGTTACAGTATGTTGAACATTTTTCGGTAAAGATATAGGCGTATACAAACTTAAAGATTATTTTTAACCTCTAAATTCACATGTTTCTAAATCAAGAATCCGAGCATTTCCTTCAAAAATATTTGCCATTTTTACATAGAAATAAATAAAAATTCCATCTAAATGGAGCCTGGCATGAATGTCGCGTTTGACAAAAAAAAATCCTGTTCAGTAACAAAACCCTATCTCGCGAAGACCTCATCGATAGCAGTGTTGATTCAGGTATTGAACCACCGCATTGACTCATGGGAAAGATTGGGGGAGGCTATTCGTCCCGGGAAAAAAAAGCTTGTAGATTCAATATTTAATAGGCCGCCAGTGGTCGCTTCCCCTACCATGTAAACTATCGAGGATAATTTTAGGGGCAAGTGGTTCTCAAAGCGTTGGGGGTCGAGGGTCCAAAAATGTGATTGTAATTAAAGAATTAATTAAATGTTATATACAAATAAAAGATGTTTATTATTTTGGATAATTATTATTAATTTTTGTGTTACTATATAAAGATTTATATCAAACATATGATTTGATAAAATACAGTAACATCTATTCATGCAACACATTTTGGTATAATCCATTTTTGCTGTACCTTTTTAATGTAAATTTATTAATTTTTTCTTGTAATATATTTTGTGATACTAA